CAACTTCCCGCTTGGTAGCCAACACGATCCAGCCAAAGGTCCCCCCGAACGCACAGGCCATACCCAGACCCATAAGCTACATATATCGACAGGCGCCTCCCCGGCCGCCATCCAGGTGATCGACGCTCCACATTCTTTGCCTAGGTTTGACCTCGACGCCGACTAATAATCGAACTCTTTCGACAGTGCAGAAACATCGTCGACTTTTGCTGTTACGGGGTCTGCCCAACACATATTTCCTTGAAGCTGTCACATATCCAGCTTCGTCCCATCAACCGCGTTTGCCCGACCACTATTCTACCTATTCACACTCGACGCCCTTGTAACAGCCATCGTGGACTTCTTACTCATATCCTATAATGGAGAGCTTGACAGCTCGAAGGTCCGCAGCTTCAAATCTTCCCACGTTCCAACTGCCACCCCCGGACCATCTCGGAATGCACAAATACCCAGCAGCGTATGCGTCGACAAGTTCAAATCAGTCAGCAGCTCCCGTGAGCAATGTTCTAACACCTCCGGCCTCGCTACCGAACGAAAACAGTCCGTTGTCAAGTCTGAATGGCGGGAGTTCAGGTAGTTCAGCTGCTAGTGTTCCTCCATATCAACAGCCCATGGGATACTGGCCAACTCCACAGAACCCTTCATACACCTATAGTTCAGCACCTCCAATGCCAGGATCATATGCGCAGCAGCAGCAACAGCAGCAACAGCAACACAGTTATATGGGAGCGCGCCCTCTGTACTCACCATCCTTGAACTATCCAAATCGGGGTAACAATTCGCCATCAACTGGAGAGGGACTTCCTCCCCCACCCTACGATATCAGTCTTCCCCCGTTTCCTACATCCATGAGTTCCTCGGGTGGACAACAGCAAAATCTCCCTACGCTTGCACCCCAGCACCAACAGTCACAGCACCATCAAATAAGTCATAATACGCTTGTCAGCTCTCAACAGCCATCTTCACAAGCTCCTCACCAAGGGCCTCTTCACGCACCTGAAAACTATGGCGGAAGGCCTCCACCAACGCCAACTTACTACACCCCCTCTTCAACACCACAGCAATCCACGTTCCCTGCCTTTACCCAGCAATCTCCCACACAGCACTCTCCTAATTCATCATCCGCGCCTCCGAATAGAATATCACCAGTGTCCGCGCCACAGGGCTATCACTCCCGGCCATATAGTGGCTATAGTCTCCCTGCGATGGCCGGCCCAATAATGTCTAATGTCCACAGTCCTGGAAATCAGATGGCGCTCGTGGGGGGTATGAACATGCAATACCCACAGCACCAACTCTCTGGGCCGATGTACGGGCACCATCCAGGAGCGCAACAGCAGCAGAACGACCGCCCCTTCAAATGTGATCAATGCCCCCAATCGTTCAACAGGAATCATGATCTGAAGCGCCACAAGCGAATTCACTTGGCAGTCAAGCCATTCCCCTGCGGACACTGTGAGAAGAGTTTTTCACGGAAGGATGCTTTGAAGGTTCGTTCTTTATCCGATTCTAATTTGCAGTAATTGGAGGCAGTTTTTTGTCTTTTTTTTTGAAGCAGGAAGCTGACTGAACGAACAGAGACATATTCTCGTGAAAGGTTGCGGGAAATCAAGCGATGAGACATCGAACGCCAATGGCGGAAGCCAATCACCTATCGACAAATCAGAGATGATGAGCGATACAACTGAGGACAGTAGTCCGAAGATGCCAAAGAAAGAACTCTGATTCTCATTCTCATTTTCATCGAATTAGGTCAGCCCGTCACAGTACACGTAACAGTTAACGTGGAAGGGGCTTTGTTGCATACACTAGGGTTCGGCAACGGCGGCGTGCATTACGGGCTGTAAAAATTCACCCCAGAGTCGGATGTGCTCTACAATAGGCGTTGTGTGTGTTTGTGTTTTCATATATGGGGTGCGGGGGATGGGTCATGCGAAACGAATGGTTTTGATACGCAGTCGTTGGAATTGTTGGAGTTGTATGGCATGGGATGAATGGGATGAGTGAAAAGCCGACTACGATCGTTTGTTAATCTTTGTTTTTTCCGGCAGCATGGATGGGTTTAGTGGTGCGTTACGGTGGTTGGAAGGAGATACCCCTCCGCAGTGGTGTATCTTCTGCGGTTTTGCTGCTGGCTGCTGAGCTTGTTCTCTTGCATTTGCCAGGTTTTCTTGTCTGAGATATCCGATGGTCCAAGTCTGGAGAGAAAGACGGATCGATCTATTGTTGTACTAGTACTATTTAAACTCGATATGAATGATGAGCAAAGACTGGAAGATCAAGAGCCTATAATTGCAAGGGAGTCGCCTCTAGTAAACTTACTACTACCACCTTGACAGTACATTCTTGCCTTCCAATACCTTTCCAACCGTGTCTGAAGGAAACAAAGATGTTGGGATAGGAAATAGTGAGAAAGAGATTTAGAATCTAGAAGTGAAAATAAGCATCAGGAACGAAAAATCCCTGACGCCATCCAGCATAAACCTTCTCCACCAGTTCCGCCGATCTTCCTCTCTTCCACGACCACACAGTACCATGCAACATGAAGCCCCTGACCTGACCTCGTAAGTAGATCAGCATCGTGAAATACTGAACTGGGTACCTACCCTGTCCTGTCCTGCCCTACTATACTGTACCTTGGGAAGATCTAATCTGATCTACTGTACGTGCAGCAAGATCATTATCTACTTACCGTACAGTAACGCAACGCAACATGGCATGGGTATAAAGGCATTTATTTAATCCACGTACTCTACAGTAATATAATATACTATACTATACACAGCCTATAAACACCAAACAAACGCATCTCATAGTATAAGCAACAGCAGTTCATGATACATCCAGTACTCACATGCACAACTCGACTCACTCGCAACCAGATAACCGGGGGTCGTCTAGTCCGTACCGAGAAAAACACCACACGCAAACCTAGCCGAGGCACGCACGGCCACTACAGTACAGTACAGTACAGTACAACAGAAACACACTTATGCACTTATCCTAGAGCTGGGCTGGCTGGGCTGGCTGGGCTGGTGTTTTGTGTTGTGTTGTGTTGTGTTGTGTTCGGGTACGGGCCTCGTGGCGTCCAGGGTTGTGGCACTGGACTATCACTGTATTGGGAGATCTACTGTAGAAGAGGGATAACCGGACCGACTAGGTTTACGAGGGATAATTTAAGTACAGCACCGTACTGTACCGGCCCGTCGGGTGCTGTACGTACAGGTGTTCGGTACCTGATTACTGGGACGGACGTGGCGTGAGTGATGTGGTATTTATAAACCTGGCGAACGGTGCGATGTGATGTGGTTGATGCGATATGGAGTAAGGTGAATGGACTGGGATGTTGATGTGATGATGCCTTGTGGTTTTATTTGTCTGTATTTTCATCGGGATGGATTTGACAAGCCTTACTATACATTACAACCCAATATCATGCCATACCTAAATACGGACGACCTGTTGGAACTCAACAGCTTTAATTCCATTATTTATTGTTCTATAAGCTTAGTAGACTGTGCGCACAGGGCAACACCACCCACCCTATTAATTCCTTTCCCACCCCTAAAACCATATCCTAATCTACAAAATAATCCATCAGGGGTGAGTTTTGTTCCTTTCGCTTCCCGCCCAACCCAAGTGAAGGCCTGTCTATACAGAAACGCTATAGAATGCTGCAAACTCAACTGCTCCGTAGACCAGCCGCACGCCTTGGAGCAAGGGACATCGCAGACACCCTGCAGCTCGGTCTTGTATTATAAATTACTGTACTGAGATCATACTCAAATCGTGCTCAGCGTCTTAATCATCATCCTCTTCTTTCGCTCATCAGTGATGAGCATTCCACGAAGCTTCAACACGTTCTCTAGGGTTTCAACAACCTTGTGGAAACTGCTGGCGGCACCTTGTTCTTGAGTAAAGCGCGCGATGCTGAGGTGTGATCGCTTTCCATGCTCGATGACCGTCATGACCTCTCCGGCAAAAGCAACTTCTTTCATATTGAGATCTGGACATCATTAGTTGCTTGCCCATTGATGGCATCTGGTGTTACTCACGATTCGTAGCTCCCACCTTTCCAAACACAATATTCCTCTCCTTATCAACTTGGACATCTTTGATACCATACCGCCTCCAGTCCCGAAGAACAGTAGCGATTTCACGTCGTGCTCTACGCTTGGAAACGGAAAAGCAGATGAACTTAGACGCTGGCTTCACATGGAAAAGCTTGGCAAGCCAATTCTGCTGTGGTTCAATTTGTCGTGCTCGTGGGTCATCAAAATTTGCATAACGGCTTGGGTATGACTGGCGTGAAGCGTCTACTGTCGAATCCTGGAGACTTGAATCTTCTTCAAAGACATCGTAATCTAAGAATTTAGTTAACTTAATGGCGCGGAGCAAGACACGTCCCAGACTTACTGCCAACTGTCATGTGCGGCTTCGAATTTCGCTTCTTGAAAAGTCTGCGCAAATTGAAACCTTTAGTCTTTGAAGATACCGGAAGGTTCGTGTCGAGATGCGGCGGGTTGGTACTAATGCTAGAATATTGCGACTGCGATGTTTCAGCCCTGGCTGACGTCTTGTAGTCTTCCTCTGAGCCCTTCGAGCTGCGCTTGAACCAATTCGATGTCTTCCTGATAACGGTGCCAGAGCTAGTATCGTAGGTATACTGATCATCAATGTTTGTATCCTGAACAGCTTGTCCAAGGTCTTCTGGGGCATTAAGCTTGAAGTCGGCACGATACTTATGACCTGATTCTAAGTGTCCATTCCTCAAAGCTGACGGACCTGCACTTCCCTTCTTCCGAATTTTGAGGGGTGCAGGGGCTTTGACAGGGCTTCTTTGGGATGGTGAATTGACGACACGGATAGTCTCTCTCTCATAAGAGTATGGTCTAGAGAATCGATCTTCGAGATATGTCTTGCATGCCGCTCTAGGTTCCGGGGCGGATGCTATGCGGCTGTTTTTAACCTGTACCTGTCGATAGTAACCAGGATTAGTCGAAGCAGAGGAGTCCCGTGACGATCCATCTTCGCCACCGATTTCGTGTATTGAAGGCAACAGACGACCCAATGGAAGAAGTTTTTTCTCCACAGGAGGAGCCGATGACGTGCGACGATCGGGGTGATGGTCTTTTAATTCGGATGGCTGTATGAGACGGTCGATATGTGACACCAGTCGGTTCAAATATCCCGTCGAATCCTCTCCAGATGCTTTCCTAAGCTCAGCTTGCTTGCGTGCCTCCAGAAGCTCGGAATTGACAGAATCGGTTCTCGAAGGGGGGGCCGGAAGTGGCCGCGTATCAAGAGAAGAACGCCTTAACTTTCGATTGGCACCTGCTAACGACAATGAATTGGCTTTGACCCTTTGGGGCTTATCTGAAGTTGATACCACAGTGGACCAATTGAAAGCTTCATCGCAGTCTTTGGCTAAGCTGGTACTTAGTTGCCGCATATCCTCGGTCCAGATCTGACTCGAAGGAGCCGATTTTGCTGGGGGGTGATGAACCACTGTCTCAGAAGCTGTGGATTCAGATTTCCGGGATCGAACGTAACGCGAAGAGGCCGAGTTCTCGGCGATCGGACGCAGAGTATCACCCCCGTCATCAGTCACTTCAGTATGATTACTGTGCCTTTCGACTGTTGAAGTTTGCTTCGTGGGCGTAGATGCAATACTCTGACTGGTAACAGATGGTGACGCCTTTCGAAGGCGTGAGAAGCTTACACCACGTCTATTCCCAATAGTCGCTCGTACGCGAGGAGCACTGCTTCGACTTTTAGTAGAACTAGCTAAAGAACTTCGCGATGCATATGGTTTCGGCGGGAATATATTTCGCGGCCTTCCACGTTCCGGTCCACTGGTCACGGAGGTTCGAGGACCAACATGCTGCCGAGGGGTGAATCTCTCCTCATCGTCGGCTTGGTCTGGGTTGCGGTGGATAGTTATAGTTGCACGATCTGCAGGTCGAATTGAGTCAACATGCTGAGGACGAGAAGCTTTGAAAGGATCATAACTTCTCTCGGTATCTGCAGTGTTACTGATAACCGTAAACCGAGAGGACTGGCGCGCATGGATTTTCGATTTTGGCTGATGGAAGTGACACGTAGAGTAGGTCTTCGTTAAGGCCAGGGGCCACCATGGTGGTAGTCACTTGCGGAAGATACCAGATCTGGTGTATAGTTCTCCAACTGAGCATCTCTATATCTCAAAAGAAGACTGTAAAAGAGCTTCTGGGGATTTGGTCTATTAAGAAGTTAGCTTGGACTGTGCAGGAAAAGAGACCCGGCCATAGCTTCTTGGGTGATGTAAGGTGCAAGAAATGCTCACTCTTCACACATAAGTGCATTCATTAGCTGCTGTTCGGATAGTGTGTGCCACAAAGACTTTAGATGGCGGAGTAGCTCCTTGTTTATATCGCTTCTCCGAAGTACGGGGCGCCCGCAGTCCTCTACGTTAGGCGACTGTGGATGGCGACCCCCACCTAGTGTGTCTAGGTAATCGTATTTCCGGAGAAGAGGATGTCTCCATATTTGGCTTAGATTAATCCTGTCTCTGGGGTTGACTTGCAGCATTCTCCATATGAGACTAGCGGCGTCGTCAGTACACTCGGGAGCCCTCTCATATGAACCCTTTCTGATTTTGGAATACAATGGAGTTTTCCAATCTTTGCCAATTGCTTCGACATCGAAAGGCAATCTCCCAGAGAGTGAGGCGTAGAGAATGACCCCCATACTCCATATATCAACCTTCTCGCCACGGTACGTGGAACCGCGAATTAATTCCGGAGCAGCATAATGGGGACTTCCACATGAGGTTAGGAGCTTATGATCAGGACTTTGATGTAATGCAGCCATCCCAAAATCAGCAATCTTGATTTCTCCACCCTTCGTGAGTAAAATGTTCTCTGGTTTAAGATCTCGGTGGCAGATATTGAAAGAGTGGCAATAGCCAACAGCACTGAGGATCTGCCGGAAGTACCTGATCGCTTCCTCTTCCCCAAGCCTACCACTGGAAGTGATGCGTTCGAAGAGCTCTCCATTATCGACGTACTCTAAGACCAAGTAGCTGTTTTCCATTAGCAATAATGCAATTACAGAAGTGTAACATTAAGACTTACATTTCTGTGCGATTTTCCCAAATGTCGTAAAGTCTCATGATGTTCGGATGTTGAATCAGCTTCATGATTGCCACTTCTCTTTCGATTCCAGCCGGCATCCGTCGAAGCCCATCTACAGTATCAGACATGTTTGCCTCTGTTTTGTCCAAATCCTTCAGACTTCCAGCCTGTGACATTTGCGCATTTCTTTTGTGCACAATCTTGATGGCTGCTTCTTGCCCCGTGTACGCATTCCTGGCGTGTCGTACTCGAGCAGTTGCCCCTTTTCCCAAAGTTTTCCCTAGCTTCCAAGGGCCAATGTAAGTCTTGATTCTCTTCCCGTCGGATGCATTCGTTGAAACCGTCGATATTTGGGAATTTCTATTGGAGTCTGTGCCGGGATTATGCTTTGAAATAGCAGACAGGCGTGGGTTCACCGCGTTTAAGGCTGGTGGTCCATCTGGATTTAGGTTTCGTAGGGGATAATAGTCGCCCTGGGATATCGGTGCACCTGGGACTGCGTTGTGTGGGTGTAGAAGCCCATCAACTCTCAGGCTTTCATGGTGCGGCATCGGGGTTGTTTTTGAAGAAGGATTGAATTGTGCCTGTTGAGCATTGTTGACTCTCTGGGTTGCCTCTCCCAAGGGTGCGCGACGGTGATTGCTCATTATGTCAATGTGTGAACGATCGCCCTAGAGTTTAGGGGGACATTTCCGCAGCAGTACGCTTATGAAGCCCTATATTGTAAGAACAGTGCCAGATAGTGTGGTCGTTTGACGCACGCGGTTTGTGTTGGGGCCGCGGAGAGATGAGAAACGCGCTCTAGTAAACTGCTAGGGGCTGGGGGGGTTCTGCGATTCTTAGTTTTCATGGTGGCTTCAGTGGTTTGATATTGAATGAGCGTTACATACCGCGTTGCTCTTCTCCCAATGCGTGAAGATCTGGAATAGCTTTTGGAGATAGAAAAAAAGAGAGAGATTTCCGTAGCCAGAACCTTAAGCTGGGTTGTTTCCACGTAGGAAAGAGCAGCAAGTAGAGAAAGCACCAAGGTAGGCAAGAGAAGAAAACGACAGTATAAAATTAGCACTGCAAGCTGATGTGGAATGCAGGATTATGTGGAGATGACTTGTTGACATTCATTGACTGCAGAGGAATGCACCAAGAGACACCGCCCACGCCAAACAGATATTAAAGTTCATCCCAACTTCTCACTTCTATTTTGACCAACCAACTATTTTGGGATCTCAAAGCCAAAAATCGCAAGCATTGCGACATTCCGTCTATTCTGCTGATCAGATGGGCAAAGAGGCAATAGAGAAGTACAGTGGCCATTTCAATAATTGATAGACCGGTTTCCTGGACAAAGCTCTATGTCAATAGTACTACCAAAGTTCGCAGTCTGCTTTCCATCCAGCGATTATGTGAGAAACTAAGCACTTCCAGGCTGCAGGACGCAAATACGTCTATTCCACGCCCCGAATTCAGTTAAGAGGAAGGCCTTGACGCGTATTTTAGACAAGCTGACGATTGCGAAGAGAAGCACTAGAACTATTCTAGGCGAATTTCAACTAGTGAGATAATGGCTCGAAGTTGTGTGGGTGATTTTGCGATTAAATCACAAATTGGTTAGCATTCTGTACTTGTTCTTGTTCTTACAGTACTTGCGCGTTTGAGGGGTCAATTTTGATTCGGTTTGCCCGGTGTCCAGAATGGGAACATGGGAATCTGAGCAGCGGCGAATACTTGACGATATATGAGATGAGGATGAGTACCACTTTGACCAGACATGAGTGAGTTGCTATAGCCACACATAGAAACAGTGAAGTCGACCTCGTCATCTCAGCCGATGTTTCAGTATCGCAGCAGGTCACGTGATGTAAAGACTAAAGTATGTCCTAGGCTAGGCCTAGGCCCAGCCCAAGGAACGCGTCGAAAGGGACGCGACTTTATTCAACTCACAGGCACCAAATCCGAATTTCGACAAACCGCCATGTCTCTGCCGGCCGACTCTCGTCGACGGCCGAGATCTGCAATAGAAGGCGATGATGATGCCGACATCATCAGAAGATTACAAAGCTCTACGCCATCTTCCTCGGATTCTCCCAAACGCGCCCGCGTCAATGGATATCAAACCGAATCTCAGCCGGATTCGAGCATCCCTCGACAGCGTGGAAGCAACATGTACGACGATGACGATCTTGAAGAGGATAACAATACGAGTGAGGCTGGTGCGAGCGAGTTTCAATCCGGTGCCATCGTCCGGGTCAAACTCACCAACTTTGTCACCTACGAGAGTGCCGAATTCTTTCCCGGACCAAGCCTCAATATGGTCATTGGGCCAAACGGTACTGGAAAGAGTTCTCTAGTCTGCGCCATCTGTTTGGGACTCGGATGGGGACCAATTCATTTGGGCAGGGCGCAACAAATCGGAGAATTCGTCAAGCACAATACCAGCACTGCTCAGGTAGAAATCGAGCTGCAGCGTCGACCAGAGGAGCCCAAGAACCACGTTGTGCGATTGAAAATCATAAAAGACGGAAATATCCGCGAATTTTGGCTGAATGATCGCAAGACGTCAGTGAAAGCTGTACAGACCCTGACAAGAGGCTTCAACATTCAAGTTGACAACTTGTGCCAATTCCTCCCGCAAGACAAAGTATCAGAATTTGCAGCGCTATCGCCTGTTGAGCTCCTGCAGCAGACTCAACGCGCGGCAGCCCCAGAAGAGATGTTGGAACAACATGAATCTCTCAAGCAACTCCGCAAGGAGCAGAAATCGCTCGACAACCAGTTGGAGAGAGACAAAGAGAACCTGAGAACTCGAGAGAGCCGTCAAGAAGGTCTTCGTGTGGAGGTACAACAACTCGAGGAGCGGAACCAAATCCTGGAGAACGTCATGGTGTTGAAAAAGACAATCCCATTCGTGGAATACAGATTTGCTCGTAATCAGCATGTAATCTTCAAGAGGAAGAAGAAAGAAGCACAGAAATGCTTGAGGAGTTTGGAAGCGGAATTGGCACCTACTTTGCAATCGATCGCGCAAAAGGAGAACTATGTAGGCAAGATCACTGCTGCGGTACGGGACCGGAGAAACGCTGTCGATGTTGCTGAAAAGGACGCCTACACCCTCACCAGGACTATCGAGTCCATAGAAGAGGAGATACTAGAGAAGAATTCCAAGATTGATTCCGAGAAGAAGGAAGACAGCAATCGGAGGTCTGATCTCAATAAAGTTCAGAGGAACATCACCGCTTTGAAAGCTCGCCTGAACGATGAACCAGTTGTATTCAACAGTTCAGAATGGAACGAGCTAATTGTGAGTGAAACCCAAACCTGGACCATTTTTGTTGACTAAAGGTTTGGGCAGAGAGCGAAAGAGCACCAGGTAAAAGATATCAAAACCGAGATTGCTGCTATGGATCCAGAAAAGGTGGAAATTCAACAGCAAGGTAGGCTGTTGAGGAAGAATATCGACGATGCTAAGAAAGAATTGGCCGATTTTGATACGCACGAGGGCCAGCAATCCGTACGGCTGAAAAATGCATCCAATGAAACAGCAGCAGCCTGGCAATGGGTTCAAGAAAATCGAGACAAATTCGAGAAAGAGGTTTATGGTCCACCTTTAATTTCGTGCTCCATAAAAGACCCCAAATACACCGATGCTGTCGAGTCAATGCTTAGCAAGGGCGATTACCTATCAATAACAGCACAAACAGTCGCCGACTTCCAAACCTTGAACGAATATCTTTATGGACAAATGGGGTACGCACAATTCCCTATCAAGAGAAGCGATGGCTTGAAAGAGAACACAAGCCTCTCGGCGGAAGAGTTGCAGCGTCTCGGCTTTGATGGCTGGGCATTAGACTTCGTGGATGGGCCACCGGCTGTGCTATCCATGCTCAGTCAAAAATTAAACAAGGCCGCGATAATGGCTCGAGAAATAAGTGACCGAGAACTGGATCTAATTACTGAGGGCAAAAGACTGAACAGTTTCGTTGCTGGATCGCATACCTATAATATTACGAGGAGGGCAGAATTTGGCCCAAGTGCAGTCTCTACGCGAACCAGCACCGTCTTCCCAGCGAGCCATTGGACCGATCAGCCTATTGATACTTCTGGAAAGCTCGAAATTCAATCAAGGATTGATTCTGCTAACGTCGAATTTGAAGCCTTGAAAGTCCGAATGAATGCCATCAAGACTAAACAACGGGACTTCGAGTCGAGGATTTCAGAACTTCTTCCGGGAATTGTGAGTCAATTTTACACCGATTGAAATGATCAATTCACTCTAACTTTCGCATAGAATCAAGTCAAGAAGGAGAAAAATGAACTTCAAAAAGCTCACGGCGAGCAGGCAGCCCTTCCAGCTAAGATTGGTAAAAAATCTAATTCCCATTTCACCTAAACTTTACTAAAATTTCCACAGAACGCGAGGAGGAGGCCTTAAAAGAAAAAGTGGAAGCGTCTACCGAGCGTCGTCGTCGAATCAAAGCTCTGAAAGTCCAGATTGATGCTGATATTATGAAAAAGGCTCAGAAGGCCCTCGACTACAAGGAATGTGTCGCCGCAATCCGAGCTCGACATGGAGAGCTTCTCGAGGCCGAAATAATGCTCATCGAGGCCAAGTCAGATGTTGCTAGTCTTAAAACTCGCAACCAAGATATTGATCAGCGTCTCGCAGAAGAACGTCAAAATGCAGAAGATGCCGAAGCAGAGTCGGCAAGGGTTAAAGCGGTAGCCGAGAGAGCGGTTGCAATCTGCCAGACGCTCTCATCTGATCCTGAAAACGCGCCATATATCGATCGTTTCCGTAACGTATCTGAAAATACAACTGTCGAAGCACTGGAGCATCAAATTGAAGCAGAGGAGTCAAAGCTGGAGTTTACAAATGCTAATAATCCCAATGCAATCAGAGACTTCGAAAAATTTAGCGCTGAGGTTGACAGACTAAAAGCAAAAGTCAGCGACGCGGAGGAAAAGCTTGAAACTATCAGCGAGAAAATCACTGAAGTTAGAGGTGTCTGGGAGCCTGCACTTGATAGCCTCATTGAGCGGATTAGCGAAGCATTCTCATACAACTTTGAGCAAATCGGTTGTGCTGGCGAAGTCGGTGTCCACAAGGACGAAGATTTCGACCTTTGGGCGATTCAGATTATGGTCAAGTTCAGGTAAGACCAAGCATCCAATAAAAGAGCAAGATAACTAATACCTGGTTAACAGAGAAGGCGAAGACCTACAACTCCTTGATCAACACCGACAATCTGGAGGTGAACGATCAGTATCTACCATCTTCTACCTTATGTCCCTCCAAAGGATGGCTCGAGCACCGTTCCGTGTAGTCGACGAGATCAATCAAGGCATGGATCCTCGCAACGAGCGCATGGTTCACGAACGTATGGTTGATATTGCTTGTAAAGAAAATACCAGTCAGTACTTCTTGATCACGCCGAAGCTGCTCACGGGACTTCGGTATGATAAGAGGATGAAGGTGCTTTGCATTTATTCCGGAGAGCATATGCCTGATAATCACAACAAGTTGGACATGTCGAAGATTCTTGGCATGCGGAGAGCGATCGTGGCTGCGGGCTGAGCCGGAGATGAAGTAAATAGGCGGGCAATGGAGTTAGGGGTTTCAATGATATACCGGAATATTGTACAATAATGCGAATTATGACATGGGGTGGCTGGGTTGGTGGGGCGGCATCTGGCTTGGAGTTTCAACCTCCGTATATATCAAGAGCGTGGCTGCGGACTAGATGATCCTGCAGCTTTCTCCGGGACTTTCTTAGCAAATATCTTGTTGTTTGTCCCATCAATCATGCCCATTAAGGTCTCTGATCTGTTTCTTTCAGATACCCCTGCTTGTTGCTACCGGGCAGCATATCTTGGAAATTTGGGTTTTACTATTTGCACATTAGATACTATGGGATGAGAAGAAGATGGTATTGTAAAATAATGTATACTTTTAGCAGTGTCTAAGAATATGGGATGGGGTATATATGCTACTGTAATACAAGAATTCAAATCAGAACCCTTGGTTGACTAAACCCCGTAGACTCCACGCTTGGAAATTACCTAACTCCTCGCTACCGATTCCTTTTATAGACCAGAACCCACATAACTATACTCTTTGGACGCCATGCTGGAGTGCGTTTAAAACATATGAGACTTGAAGCACGAACAGACCCAGACCAATAACCACGGATAGCTATTCGCCGGACTGGGCATCGACATCCTGGGAGTTCTAAACTGTACCAGGAGCCACTAGAGACTGTCGCAGATGTTCATCTTCGGCCACTTGCGGAGGCGTGCATTGCTGGTATGGATTTTGATCCTCCGGTTCAGTGATGTGGAATTGCTCACCGGGCGAACTGAAATCCTCTTGAGACGACGGGACTCGAGACATATTGGTGGCGTCAGAGAAACATGACTCTCGACGCTGGCTTTGCATGCCACTTGCCAATGTCATTATTCCCGCAGCCTCAGCGCCCTGCAATTTTGCTCGTTCCTCGGCTTCCTTCCGAGCAGCTTGGCTGGGCGCTCGGGTTCTCAACTCGCCCGTGACGCACTTCAGGTAATAAGGAACCTCAATGTTGCTTTTTAAGAAGAACAATTTGAGATTCCTTGCCTTGTCCTTTAACTGGACCTGATTCCTGTCCTTGAGAATCTTGTTGATAGTACCATCAGCACCAAAGAGAGCCAGGATTTGACTCCAATGAGGGCCCTTGACTTGATCAAGGCCAGTCATCAGTGTGTTCTCTTCTTCGCTACTCCAAGGTCGCCTTTGGCTTGGGATTCCTGGTCGACGAGTTGTTCCAGGATGTGATTTTGCAACAGCAGCTTGACGCGCTCGCTCATAAAGAACTTGTGTTGGTGCGCTCTGTGTGTGATATGGTATACTATCTTTGTTGTATTGTGTCGGTGCATGATACGGTTGCCGGGAACCTGTGGATACAGTTTAGTAAGTTAGAACAGTAAGGGGCGTAGGGTCAAACGAACCTCCATTCTGCTGTGGCTGGTCGGAAGGAATCTTGCTTCCTTGGGTTGCAAGATTCGATTGGACGGCTTTCCCACTAGAGATCCCTTGCGTAGAACCTATTTGCATGCCAAACTGATCTTGGGTGCTACTCTGGCTTGGTCCACGGATAGGAGAAGCTGGTGCCGTGAGGGAATGCCGCCTCATGTATGGATCGACGATTGGCCCATAAGCGACGTTGAGATGGGTGCTCAGATCCCGCAAGAATTCATCCCATGAGAACCTTTCGGACAAAACCTCTTTGATGTCATTAGTATATTGTCTATCGTACAGTGCCTCAAAATAAGCTTACGTATTGATTCAACGTTACTTGGCTCATTCATAAAATAATCTCTCCGAGTTTTGCACATATTGAGGAAATTCAACTCGCTCTCGGTCAACTGCGTAGAAGACCGTCGGCTAGCTATAGTCTCACGAAGAGCCGGTGGGAAGAGATCTTCGAGGATGTCCTCCTTTGTTCGATCTTGTTCCTCTTGCATTAAAGACGACACATACATCTGGGTCTTGAGATTTAGGTAGAGATCGCATGCCTGTGCACCTAAAGCCTCACCCTCGGGAGTAAATATGTTAATAAAGTGATCGTTCATTTCGTAGAATCCGATATCGTTACTTCCAAAGACGCTTGCAGCGAAAGTTGCAACATTGGTATTTCGAATGGTAGCTCGATGCTTAGGTTCATCGATACCAAGATCATCTGCAGAAAGAAATGGCCCCTGGCCACGTTGGGAGTATATCTTCTTCGTGTCGTCGAACAGAGATCTCAATGCCGCATAGGCTTGTCCAAGCTCTGACTCTGGATCAGTGACTATGCGTATAGTTTCGCGGTAAGGGCCTCGCGCTAATGTCGACAAGATTTGGGTTGACTTTAGACCATCAGTATGACGTTTGTAGAGAATTCGCGGATATATGTGGCCAGGAAATGCTTCTTATGATAAAAGGTCGCTCTTACCAGGCTGTCTAAAACGGGCAGACTCAATATCCTCATAGACAGATAGGGATCAGACGTGAATCCAAGAGTATGTATTGCATCTTCTCTGCATACGGTCTGGATACCAGGCTGGCTTGGCGCGCGCTGCTGGTATCGTTGTGTGATGGAAGCACTGACTCCCCTGAGGATATTATCCAGATCATCATCATGTGCAATCGAATTGCGCATAAGTCCCGGCGACGCTTCGGTTTCGACTCTTTGTCGCTTCTCGATAGAATCATGCGTATCGGATCTTGCACGTTTGTGCGATGCTGGTGTTAAAGGGTGGTACAAGGGCGAATCGAGGTTTGCGGTCGAGGGGATCTCGTACTTGATCGCGACGTCTAGTTGAACATTCAAGTTAGCGCCCATGCGCATATCACCAATTGAAGGGCAATCTGCCTATTCGGCTGAGACGCCCATCATTGTCAAGGTTTCTAACTCACCAGTATTCCCGCTCGCATTTGCGTGTCCATTTGAAGTTCCGTATCCAGCAAAAGACTCCATGATTCGACTGTCTACCGCCTTCAGGCGGATACCGAATAATCTGGGTCCTCAAGACGGTAGGGGCGAGTCCTTGTCAGGGCGATAATACCGGTACTTGGGTTGTAATACAATTGTCGTGGGCGATGGTGAGGCGCTGGTGGGATTGTAACATTTTTGGGATGACAACGTTCTTAAACAGGGAAAGCGTGATAAACCGGGCCCTAGAAAAAAGACCCTATCATGCTTGCTGATACACAGCAGGAAAATCGCACAAATATAAGACGAGAATAAGAGAATATTGATATTGCAACTACATCATACTATAGCACTCTGCGGCAAATGAATCATTGCAACGCGCGAGAACCCATCATCCCATCAGATATTTTTTTCTCAAGACGACGATAGACCATCCACCATGTCACAGAAGTTCTATTGTGAATTTTTCAATGCAACTTCTTCCATTATTTATTGGCATTAGTTCCTGCTGATTGCGGCTTTAAACTACCGAGTAGGTTTATACAAATGGTAGCATATTTTTTTTACCATTCAATGAACTGCTCTGCGGTTCGCCGCATGTAGGAATTTTTCGTACGAAGGAAGTATTTACTAATTTTTAGAGAGCTTGGAATAGGACTAGGAAGATCTGCATCGTTTTTGGTTGAATGACATCTGATCACACTCCTCACATAGATAGGTCGGAATGTTTCTACTGTAGGACTCGAGAGGGGATTTTTGTCTTTGAGCTCCAGCAACATTTAGTGTTTCTAAGAGATACCATGCGAGCCACTTTTCGACCATCGGATTTCCCAGTTCAGTAACATTAGATAAGGTATTGAAAACACACTGTCAGCCCATGATTTTCGAAGGCTCGCAATGCAACGCATGGAGCGGGGAAACACATATGGGAATATATTATCTAAAGGAATACATCACATGACCATAAAAAAACATCCCGCTCATGTTCCTCTCATGTGGAGATTGTCTCTTAAAGTCTAATAGGATAAGGGGGCGAAGAAGGATAAGCGATTATCAATAAATGTATGATAAGACTTACACTGATGTTAAGAATTCGATGATCATGTTCCTAATACCTCAAAACCCGCCCCCGCCCCCCTTTATAGGTAATCTATAAGCGAACGAGAGAGAGCTACTGTGTAGTATAGTACTCCTACCTCTAAACGTATCGCCGCTTTTCCATCACCTTACTTGCAAGCCAATTATTCCCCAGCTTTATCACGTGAAACGCAAACTTCTGCGTAAGGTGTAAAGGTTTTACCTCAAGATACCTAGTAGGGCCAAGACTCTTGGTTCGCCATTCCCCCTTCGGCTTTTGCACCAGACTAGGACTTAACTACAGAGTACTGACCATGTTCTCACTCATCCATCGAAGCTTCTCGCACGGATACTTATTTCTGATGTTGCTGCTATCGAGGCCTCCCTTTTATTTGGCGTACAGTACGCTTTCAAAGACAATCTATCGACTTTACTCCTAAAACTTACGAAGAGGTATGGGAGAAGGGAAGGGAGCCAGGCATTCGCTCGATTAGACTTGTACACCATTCCTCTCATCTCCAGTGGCATGTCGAGGTTACTTTTTAGGGAACACTTCAATCGACTCGGACGAGCACCTTTGCTAAAAAATCCGAACGGCGAAACCATCTAATGAACCTCTGCTCTTGCATTACTTTCGACCTCATAGAGCTATTGAACGACACCGTTACCGAGCTTGTCCTTACGCACCAGCAAGATGCGACAACCACTACTCCGCAAAGCCAAATGCTATATTTCAAGACAACGCCAGATATCAAAAGCGAATATAATCCTGTTATCAATCGACTACGTGTTTGTATACGAGAAGACCCAAACTGTCACTAAACTCTCGCATACCCCTTGACACAAACCTCCACAGACCCACACCATCACCCCAAACTCCCACATATCTCTGACGAATCCCTATCGAACACTCTTAATGAGAATGTCTCGGTGTGCTGCAATCTAGAGCGAAAGGTTCCTTCAGTCAAATGGGCAAGACAAATGTATTGATGGGCTTGTCCAAAGAATCGTACAGCAACCCCACCGCAAGTGCCAGATGCTACTCTAAATTAATAAATGCCTACCGAGACACCCTCGAATTCTATACTCTCCATTCAGCAAGGGAACACAAGATTGGTCGCATAGAATTTTGGAGGGTGGTGTGGAAAAAAGGATTTGTGAGACTAACGTTTCCTCCGGTCCAATGCTTCAATCAACTCTGCCCAGTGCACCAACTGCCATCAGATCCTGTGCTTGCGCTTAAGCAATATTGTTCATAAGATGGGAAGTTGTCCCTAAGATAGAGCTGAGTTGGAGAGACTGCCCCTTGAAGGACCCTGTCTGTAGACAGGTCTATAAGCGCATCTGATCCACTGACGGTCCAGCACCCAAGCTCGACAAGAGGTAGATCCATCCATTTCATAGTTGAGGCTAGATAACGCATCCATTGATTGATCATGGGTACTTTAATGAAGGTCAGTAGTGTCGAGATCTGTGATCTCACTTGAGCTGTCAATGGTGTAAGCAAGGTTACTTGTTGTTAGAGGATCTCTGAATTCGTTTGGACTGTTGAACCTGTAATCAAGGATACTTGCTGTTGCGGGATCTATGAATGCCTCAAGGTCATTGAAGACATGATCATGGTTGCCGCTTGTTGCAAGGTCTATGAGATTCCTTGTCTCATTTCTCGCACCGAGAGAGATGAGATGTGAGGAATTCGAACTCGGCATTGACTCCACGGTGTTGCTAGTTTCACTTAAAGTTGCTTGACCAAATTTGCTGTTGCCCGGTGAGAATTGATGTATCGAGTTTGCTGGGAAGTCGTCATCAGTGCGTGAAACAGACGCTCCTAATCGATCGACGCACGTTCTCTTATTTGCAGGCTCAGAGTTCCCGGGCCGAACACTAGTATGCGGTCTTTTGAGTTGAAGGTAGGGCCTTAATATCTCCATCACCTTGGTGTTGGAAGAGTGTAGAAGTTCCCCGAGGGACCATCCGTACGCTAAAAAGCAGTCCCTAATTGCGTATGAGACCTTGACTTCGTGCGACCTGGTCTGTTCATCCAAATGGGGAAGCCTGCTTCTTTTATATGCAAAGACAGAAGTGATATCACCCAGCGTATCTGCTCAGCCCAAGACCAACCCAACCTTCAACTCAATCGCTCTTCTACATAATGATTTTCACTTGTATCTCATGCGGTAAAGCTAATATGCTTTACATCCAATTTTCATCTCATGAAAAATTTGAACAACATCTTACCGACATGACCCATGAAATAAGTCTAAGAAGACTTATAAAGCGAAAAGGTTGTAAGACGGTAGAGAAGAGCAACACTCAAGGAGAAAGTCCATACGGGCCCGGAGGAAAAGGTCGCGATGCGATAGGCCGTCCGCTTGGCATTCGTAGTCGGTTTAAGACCATCGGATTTAGTCCGTAAGTTTCTCCTTGGATGGAATAAACTTTACAAATATAACTGACAGACCATCAAACATCCAATTTGACACTGTAGGATTCCGGTGGAACAGTGGACCAGAGTCAATGAGGCAAGGGAAGGGGGTCTGGCGTGAGCCATAGCAAAGAAGAGGGAGAACTGATAGATAGTGGAGGAAAACATATTAAAGCGGTATAACGTGATGAATGTAAGACCAAAATCCATGAGTCTAAGCTGATGTTCCTTTGCCACAAAACATACATTCCATTTCTTGTCCCTCCTAACCCACCAAGCGCAACCAAGCACCACCTACCATCATGTGCTACTTCGTCAAACACATATCCATTTGCTCCTACACATGTTACATCATGGGGAACTGGTGCCAAGAAGATGAAGACACCCACAAGCGTTGTTACTTTCCAGGGGCTTTTGAGACCGTGAATAGGTATGCAAAGCAACTGCGGGAACTGAAACTGACCATACAGATTGGAGAAGTGCGGGGATTGTCAAGCATCGCAAGCTCCAAGTTAAATGAGGGATTTATTGGCGGCAAGGCGACCAGGTACTAGGGAGGACGGACGGCTACTTGGCAAAAGGGGTGCATGAATCAGGGTTCACGCAGTAAAGATAAGGGAAAGAATAAAGGAAAACGAGCATTTAGAGGAGGCTCACCTGTTTATATACTATTGTAGTTCGCAATCAAATGAATAAAGGCAAATTCTTCGGGCGTAGGTTTCCTACTAGTGACGCTTAAGAAGATCGACTAATATTATACGTGAACAAAAATAGATGGCGTTTGGGCACTGCAATGACTGCATTATAGAAGCTCGAGACCCCCGCGATACTGACCACATATTGCCCATGTGCGTCCAGAAATTTGATCCAGGTTATAGAAACCCCGAAGCGGATGTAACCTTAAAAGCCGGACCATATTCAACCCGGCAAAGAACCCTCAGGGGATCTTTAGAACTTGCCTGTGGATCTTCTGACGCCATTTAAAAGCATACTTGATTGAGACAAGTCTCGACTAGCCGGACAGCTTGGTAAATTGGTTCCATGTCGCTGGGCCAGGCTTTATTCGACGCCCCCGCTTCACTACCCCGCCCCTGCTGCACTTAATTTATTTTCATTCAAAAATGGATAAATGGTAAGGATAGAGAGCGCGTTCCACGTCTAGTGATATTGGAAATACTTCCACTTTATAGTTCTTACTAATCATCTTCTTAAGCGAGAAGAAAGGGGGATAAGAGCGCAAGTTAAGCGAGAGAACAATTTAACGAATGGTTCTAGTGGCAATGGCTCTATTACTTGCTAAAGTTCTTCCTATAGAACCGCCCGCCCCAGACCCTTTCCACGAATTTTCGAATTCAATACTGGATATGCAGAATGAGGGATGGTTTGGATCATAAAGATGCGTTCACAAGAACGGGATGCGGGGACCTGACGGAGAAGGAGACTAGGGCTGGGCACGAATAATAGAGATTTTTTATTGTAGCTTGGCAGTGGCAATTCATAGCCTCCTTATGGCGATAGGGAAGCCTAGAAGTGGCGCTGTAGCATGGAGGCTACAGCGGCTGCCTAAGGCATGCTAGGGCCTGAAGGCCCTATATATACAGTGTACTTCCCACTATAGAACAGCAGTCAATTTAAGATCTCTCCCCTCTAGAAACAACACTATGTTTAAGTCACCGAGGCTGTGGTCTTCACTTCGTACCTGTATATGGTGATAATACTCAGACATAATAGCTAAATTGACTATAGCAACAGTCCTTCAACGAGACTAATTATCAGGTGGAGACCATGATGTTCCGTGGACGAGTCTGGAGGTCCATGCCCTATACCAAAAAGTCAGGCCTTCGTCCGACAGTTAGGTAATTTCTTAGTCGTGAGAAAATCGACCCCGCTTCCCTCCTACCTTCTCTATAAAATTTGCAGACTTGAAATGTCCAGAAAAGAATAGTGCATAATACTAATATCTGTAGACCGTAGGGCAAAGGCAAGCTAGCGAAATTAACCCCTGAATTAAGCGAAAATGAAAGATTGTACCCACAAAAGCCTTGGACCAGAAGTTCTAGTCGTGGAAGGAGGTTCACTGAAAGCGGACCACGATTAGCCAAGGATACTATTGGACGGCGTGAAAGATTAAGTGAAGTTACCTACGAGGTGTATAGGCTAAGAGAGCGCCTGAACTCACCCCGTGATTAGCCCCGACATGGTCGCAGAATATCAAGAGCTGCTTACATTCTGGGATGTGCTTGAAATGTTGCGGATTTCCGTACGCAGACTTTGAGTATATAAGTACATTAAGCGCAACAATCGAACGAGAAGTTGCGCAAGCCGAGTGACGATGTAAGAATATATAATAAATTAGCAATAACCTAGGACTGAAATTACTTATTGCGCAATGGTTAGGTTCTTCCAACTGCCTCTATTCGACGCCCAAGCTTCATACCATAACTTCAATTCCTCAACCGCTTCTGCAGTCCAATACAGTTTTGGCTCTTGATCTTCCCCGACGAGCCGCATATTTCTGTTACCCGCCATGAGTCCCTGCCAGAAGTCCCCCTGATTCAGCGCAGATCGAATCGCTCCATCCACTTCACCATCCAGCAGGCGTTTGCACAGCTCCCAATCATCACACAGCGCTCTCGCGAGGCCCACCCCATCGACCGTGTCTAGCGCATTGACCATCCCTGCGGCCGTTACAAAGCCCCCTGTAACATACACCTTCGTCTTGCTCAGCTTCGGCGCGATCTTCTCCGCGAACTCGAGGAAGAAGGCCTCGCGCTTCCGCGTCGTCTCGCGCACGTGCGAGAACATGTTGCCCTTCTCGATCGAACCGCCGCTCAGCTCGACGAAGTCAAAGCTGTTTTTTTCGAGCTCGCGACAGAGAACGGCAGCCTCGTCGGTTACTAGGCCGGTGTCTTGGAACTCGGTGCTGTTGATCTTGATACCCAGGATAAAGTCGGGAGGCGTGACGCGGCGGATCTCCCGTCCTATTTCGAGGATGAAGCGCATGCGGTTTTCTAGACTGCCACCGTACACATCGGTTCTGATATTGGTACTTGCATCCAGAAATGATGCCATGAGGAAGCCGTGCGCAGCATGTAATCTAGGTAGCAGAAGTCAGTTATAATTTTCTTGCAAGTACAATAAGCTTCATGGCCATGTTCTAAAACCTAAAAAAGTACTACGAGTGCATAGAAACGGCCCTGTATAATGAAATACACAATATGAGGAGAACTTAGACCGAGACTGCTCACTGTACGCCATCAAAGCCCGCCGCGCTCAGATACGCTGCTGCATGACTAAAAGCGGCAATAATATTGCGAATCTCCTCTTGGGTGGCTGCGTGTGTGACTGTAAGTTCCCAGGGGCCATTTTTAACCTTTGGTTTCGTGATGGCTGATGCCGAGACGGGCGAATCCACAAACATGCTGTATCGACCCGGATGATTGACTTGGGCAACGAAAAGCGCGCCTTTGGCTTTTCCTACGGCTGCCACGGCCTTGAAAGCATCGACTAGGATTTTCCGAGTCAGTATGGTTCGAGTTGGAAAGGATGCCTGTTAGAAAACTTTCCAGCTCCCTTGGGGATACAGAGAGAATTGTCGACGTATTCACTTACAGCGTTCGCCAGAGAAGGGAGCATCATGGGGGATGATAGGATCACCCTTAAACATCAGCTCATTTGTATAGAGAACAATATTGCCCGTAACCATCATGCCCATCCCTCCGCGGCCCCATTTATCGTAGCACCGCTGGTATAGTTGCGTTGGGATCCCGTTATCTGCCATGTTGTTTTCATCAAAGGTGCACAATTGCTCAGTCATGGGTGCTTTCATGAACCGGTTTGATGTAGTGCGCCCTGAGAACTCAAACGTGAGTGGCTCCGCGAGCCGCAGACGATCAGCATGCTCGGATGGCCAGCGGGGCGCTTGAGACGTGAGTTCACCCATAGTTCAGTTTGCAGTATAAGATAATGGAGTAGAAGCACGTTGTAAGGTCAATGATGATCCAAAAAAAGATGTGTTGGGCGCTTTATAGCTCTTCCAGCGTAAGGTTGATTTTGTTTAGCTACCTTAGTGTGTGCTTTATAGCTCTTTTATAGCTCTTCATCCACTAAGAAATCTAAAACGTGAGACCAACTGACATGAACCAATAATATTGTGATATCAAAATGGTCTGATTAGATTCTAGGCTATACAGACAGATATATACAAAAATAGTAAGACAAAAATAGTAAGACAGCGCGGGTTGGGTAAGATGCGCTTCGAGTTGGTACTTTTAAGACCGAGTACGGTTTATAAGTCATAAGTGCATCTCATCCAAAGTTACAGTAAATTACCACAGCTGAAATCATTACATTGATGAATATACAAAAAGCTAGTTCCGTAGAATGTGTAATTATGACTTTTACGTAAGCGAATTGCTCAACATTCCGGGCTTTTACCCATTCTGAAAATATGACCTTGACACTTCGTGACACCGCGCGGTGGGTTAGTGCATCGGTCACATTGTGGGATTCTGTTTGTAAACCTCGTCAAAGAGTACAAACTCCGTTCCGTAACACCGCCTTATACTTGCATGATCTTTTCGAGAGCATGAATGCAATGCATGGCTGACCTGCACATGTCATACTGTATCTTTAACAAGAAGCAGTCAGGTTCTGAGGTGCAGGAATCCTTCGGAGCTTCCGAGGCTGCTGCTCAACTCAGTAGATCATCTGTCAGCTTGTGATCTTATGCAAAGTTTCATAATCTAACAGGAGCGATAATTCTGCCCCGCTGCTTATTTCGGAGACTTTATTAATCAACTACAACCTTGGCAGAACGGTGACGGTGACAATACGAGATTATGTGTCCAAGACTCCCTCGGTATTAGGTACAAGCGGCATACAGCATGGTATCGACTTATGTATATCTTAGCATTATAAAGCAACTCATTGGTCGTCGGATCAAGCATAGGTACATTTCTCAATCTTCATCAGAAGGCATAAATTGTTACAGATCCTAGATTTCTGTTAAACTCGGGCGATAATTCGTTGTCATTCTGAGCAAGATGGTTGCGTGTGGGTTCAATTACTTGGTTCCTGCACTTATTTTCAAGGTCAGTCAGCTCCAAAACGTATCTTGTGTGTTCCCTAACGATTTGCTAAAATGGGTTATAGTTGCGCATCTTTGCTTCTTATACAGTTGTAAGTAGACCCACAACATAAATACCTAAGAAGTTGAAGTACTCATAATCTTAGGGACCCCTCTCTACGGGTGGCAGTTACTCCAATGGCAATGCGGTTGGCGTGCTCACCTCCGTTCCCGGCTACAACCTTACGATCAACGCAACTACGATTCACATGGATGATTTCTTTCTTGGATCAGGCGGCCCTTGGATTCTGAGCCCTCGCGGTCTCCTGAAGACGAACGATGGTGAATACATCAGTGTTGATGGGACGGGTTGGGCTGACAACACCAACCACACGCTCTCCATCTTGAAAAACACGACGCGGGTGCCGACCGAGTGGGGGGAAGTCCAGGCCTTGACAACGTGGGGGTTTAAGGCTACGACGGGTTATTATTCACCTCTGACCACGGCAACTTTCGTGGCCAACATGAGGTGGTGGCCGAGCGACAACGCGAACACGTCTTCGTATATCGATTATCGTATCAGCGAGGTAATAGCAGGGCCAATATGTGCAGATCCGGCGGGTCCATAATCCATGAAGATGAAGATTCGACGGCTATCGGTAGTTCAACTGGGGGATTAGTTGCGAATAGGTCACCGAGGGGGGGGGGGGGGTGTTATACATAGACGGCTAAGGAGGTTGGGAGTTAAAAGCCACAAAAGTCTACTATTTATATACCTTCTCAAATCTCGCAAATGTTAGTTTTCTAAGGCACATGTTCGAATCAAAACAACAAAATCGTATAGAATGCTTACCTAGAAGTACCACTTGAAGACGAGAACTTCGCATTCCATTTTGATTCAAAATGGATGGAAGGAGGGACGTGGTCTAGCTCCGGCGGGAAATTATGAATAAGTATTTATGACTACGGAAATAGACTGCTCAACAATAACATCAGCCCTTTCCCACCCTACGTGCCCAAAGCATAAAAGGCTTTACGCACTATTAACCTTTTTAGATGAAAGTTTCCAATTTCTTCTTCGTGACGAAGAATTCACTGTGTCTGAAAAAATTGCGCTGAGAATTCTTTTTGAGAGTAATTCCCGAGAAAAATGTCAAGCTCAAATATCGTGTCGTGCATTCTTGCTCGCATGCCGGATCTTAACGCCACGCTGGAGAAAATTAGCTTGAACAGGAAATGTGTAGGACTAGTCCAGTACTTACATAGTACAGCAGAAACGGAATGGGAATAAAGCAAATCGAAATCCCTCCCAAGAGAGAGTTGCCCCCACCGATCCCTAGTCCCCGAAACAATTGTCGTGCCTTTCTCGTTAGCTTTATGCAATCTGCAAAACAGCGAGCTCTTATAACCTACAAAAAGTGGAAAGATGGCACCAAATATGGAGCGGAAGAGTCCATTGCCTGCGAAGATGGAAGCTGCATACGTCGGGTATGAGATGGCGAGATAATTCAGACAAGACTGGAAGACGACGACGAGAGGAACCCCAAATAAGGTCGTTGCAATGATTGGAACGATCCAATGTATGCTTGCGCGGGCAGTCCATCCATAGAAAAATAAGCAGATGGGGAGAGAGAGGGACCCGAACCAAACAGGTGGCAAGACCACTTCTGGCTTGAACGTAGGATCCGAGAATTTGGGTATCAATATGTATATGACCCAGAGACAGTAGGCAATCACTGTGATTGTAGTTCCGACGAGGATGCCGAAGAAAGCGAGACCTTGTTCACCTAGGTTGAAATGATAGACACCTCCAAAGACTAGAGGGAAGGATTCAAACCAGATGAACAGTACTCCGTAAATCAACGCTACATAGAGGTCCATAACAAAGACAATCGGCTCGGTAAAGATGAGGGAGAAAGCTCTGCCCAGCACTATCATATCGTCTTTGAGAGTGTGAGTTGCGGCATCTATTTCCGACTGGCTTTTGAAGCGTGGGTCTCCAGTGGCTTGTCGACGTCTGGCTGCTCGTCGGTATAAGATATTGGCAGCGCTGGTTTCCGGATTAAAAAAGAACATAGTGACGAGGACGAACGTCGTGAGCCAGACAATCATCCAGATGCTCCAGCTCCAGCCCTTGACCGGGCTCACAAAGCCGCCCAGTACAGGTCCCAGGCATGGACTAATGATCGCAAACGCACCCCAAATTGGGATTGCGATCGAGGCAGCACCCATATCATACATATCCATCATGGTTGCTCCGCCTGTCGAGAGTGTAGGGCTGCCAAAGACGCCGGTGATGAATCGGAAGACGAGGAACATGGCCATATTGACAGCGTAACCAGTCGGAAGTTGAAATAAGACAAAGAAAAGGAGTGTCCAGAAGTATATTCCGCTACGCCCGAATCGAGGCATCTCAGACATGGGGGACCATAACATTGGACCGATACCGTACCCACTGAAAGCAATAAATTAGCAACCACTATCTCTTAGGCTTCAATTTTGAGGTAAGAGCATTGCATACAGTGTAAAGAGAGAAAGCCCAAGAGTTGCGACTATCTCCGATGAATGAAAGTCCGCCATAGCACTTATCTCTGCCGGGGCGTAGATAGAGCTTGCCATGTAGACGGACCAGTTGAGCAAACATATTTGGGTAGCGACTAGAAGCTTTTGTGTGCGAGACCAATTTTGGGGGTTCTGAGAACTAGATTAGAGTCTTTCAAGAGGTAGAGACAATTGGGGGATGAGTACCTCGCCATCGTCTGGGCCGTACCAGTCTACCAAAAATTCATCTTTACCAGCTTCAGCACTGTGATTGTCTTTCAACTCTTGCGAATCATGATTCTGTGGAGGGGTGGCCGTGTCTGTTACAGTTGTGGTGGCAGCTCCTGAGCTCTTGGATTCCGTTTTCTCCAAATTGGCATTTTCTGGTGTGTCAGAGTCGCCGAGATGTTCCTTTTGGAACTTCTTCCACAGCGAAGGATCGATCTCATCTGGATATCGCAGAAGCTTATTGCCCGAAAGAAAGCGTATAAGGAGACCAGCCTGCGTATCTCGCAAGATGGAAGTCATGGTGATGCGCAAAGACGAAGATATGAAGTTGTAAAACTGACTGCACGGCTACAAACAAGTAAGTGTTATGATAATTGATACCAAGAATCCCTCCGTACACGTATAGACATTTTTAACTTACTTGACAAACAAATCATCTTAGGTCCGAAAGCAATTTGTAATCCCGATGGATGATAAAGCATCTCCTATCGCCGAAACCGCGACTGCATTTGGAAACAGAACAGTAAGCATTCCTTTTCCTCCACCAGCTCATCTTACCTACCTGGGGTATGTATTTAGCCTGAATCTGGGGTCGATGGGTCAATCCTATAGGCTACTCCGTATAATTGCATGCCGTGCGCCACTCACCGACCTCCGTTCGAGTACCGTGCAGGATCTGGTGGATTGTAGCGCCCGCGCCCGCTCCCGCGCTGCACCTACCTACCCGTCCCGTCAGCTACCTACGCACCTACCTACCCGTCCCGTAAGCTGCCTCCGGACGGGGTATACTTCTGACTTGCAGTAGCTTATTAGCCTTATACCTCTTCTATTCTAGCACAGTCACTGATCTCCGTGCACCAGGTGGGACTTGGATTCTCCGCCAAAAACAGTTTGATGCCTTTCGCTTTCCTAATTACCTACTGGGTACCTAGGTACTTCAGTCGCACAAAAAAGTCTACTTCCTTTGTAATATCAGACGGACAAACACTAATGTCAAACAAGTGTTTCATAGACTTGCGGGATGCTAGATAAGGTAAGGTAAGGGAAAAGGTATCCCTTCCCTTGCATACAGTCCAGGCCTCAGGCGATACGAATGAATCCCTGTCGAGCCAAGCAAGCACAAGCACAAGCTACAGTACAAGTTACACAACACAACCCTTGACTCCACCCTTGCCGCTAGAGTCTCGGGCTTATGATTTTCCGAGATACCCTGGCAATATTTTCCACCTCACTCTACGTACGGAGGTACACTCGGTACAGTACCCTACCCTAATTACCTACCTAGGTACTTGTTCCATGTCCAGCTTTGACTCCTTGCTGCAGTCGGCCGCACTCCCCCAAAGCTTTCAAGCACTGCTCCCACTGCTCTGCGCATTCGCCTTTTTGCTATTAAATCTATGAGCTGCGACGAATGGGACTATTAACAACCCGACAGCAACCGCCATAACCGCGCCCGAAAAGATTTGCGCGTGTACGAATTCAGCTTTGGCGATATTCGCCAATGTCCCAGCAATCGGGGCCCCAATAAGCACGCCCACACCTGCCGTGGCCCAACTCATGCCCAATCTCGCCCCAATTACATCCAGACTGGGACTGAGAGTCGGGTGCGCTGTGCTAGCGGCAGGGGCCGTGACCAGGACCCCAGAGAGAAATCCCCAGGCCATAGTCCACACAACCATGCCACCCGTCGAGCTGACGGAGATCCAGCTGAAGAGCAACACAACTCCCACAGCGTCAAAGAATATAAGAATCTGAATGGGTGATAGGCGCGCACCAAGTAAGAAGGGCAGCGTTCGACCAAAGAAGGAGGCCCCATTACTGATGGCGAGAAGATAAAAGGCAAAATCGATGCCTGTGTCAACCTTGGTTCGAGCATACGTTGTGATGTAGAAGAGAGGGATGTAGTAGGCGAGGAACTGAAAGAAAAGTGCAATGGCAAAGCTACCAAAGATTGGTTCGCGAAAAGCGCGAGGGTCCATGACCATTCGCGCTTTGGGGGCTCGAGTTCCTGGTTTGCGGCATAGAATCCACAGTGTGGGAATGGCAACACCCAAGTTGACAAAGGCGATGGCTCGCACAGCCCATCCAAAGCCTATGGTAGGAGCAAGTCGGCGAAACATGATGGGAAAGATGATGCCGCCAATACTCGCACCGGTGGATGCGCAACCAAGTGCAATAGGTCTTCGCGTGGTAAACTTCGATGAGATGATGGCAAAGGCTGGAATGTTAATTGCCCCCGCTCCAAGACCAACGCAGAATCCCTGGGCCAACATGACTTGATAATATTTCGTAGAAATAGAAATCATAAACATGCCGAATACCACCATAAAGTGTCCTACTATCATGACAGGTCGAAGGTAGCCCCGATCTGTCAGTGGCCCAGTGAGAATCCCCGTAATAGTAACAAAGGTTGATTGTACACTGCCAATCCATGATAATGTTGAAGAAGAGTTTCCTGGTAGGAGTTCTGTTCGATACTGTTCCAGGAAAACCCCGTAGGTGCTAGAAAGTCCCCTTGAAACTTTTCAGTAGAGTTCAAATATCTTTACAAGCTTGACTTACCAAGAATTGATGAAGATGAAAAATCCAGCAAGAACGAAGAGCCAAGCCTCCTTTCCTCCATTCGGAGGTTGGATGGGAGCTGTGGCTAAGCCAACGGGGCTTGGAGCCGACGGTGCTGCTGGATTATCCTTTTCCGATGTTTCTTGATCAGTATCTAATCTCGTGGATGATATATTTGAGCTCGAGCCCATCTTTTGCTTTATTAGCTTTGGAAATGCTTTTTGTTTTCCAGAATTGGACTGCATGAAGGACTGACCGTATTTGAGGTATGATCCATCGAAACCATCAATAAGAGCGCAAGTAAGATCTCTGGATGTGGAAAGAGTGAATAACTCTCAGATGTCTTTGTCTTTGAACAAATGGAAATCGGGTTCAAACGGCGTTAAGCCTCGCTCTGAATGCCAATTTTGATCACTACAAGAGCAGTGAGCACCCAGGGTACGCGTATGCTCGACATGACGCCAGAACCACTGCACTCTCCATGATCAGCCACTAAGAAAGTGCATGAAGAGATCAAGAAGTGATCGTGTTCTATCAAATCCAATGCCACTCGTGTAAAATACTAAATTCGATCAAATCTGCACTCGAGGACCCTTGCTGGAGCCTCGGCAATTCGTAACATCGTGATGTAGACCAATAATGTTTTGATAGATTGGAGCATATTGCGAATTGATACGAGTACGCAAGTTGTCCCCAATCGGAGACTCCCCTTTGAGCATGTGACTGCAGCTTCCAGCGTGACCGCAGCATGAAGCATGACTGCATGCATGGCGGGTACGACACGCCTCACCGAATGTAACCGTAAATACTCCGTACCACCCCCATGCTCCTCACTCCGGGGTACAGCGGGACAATAAGCTATACAGGATCTTAGCAGATGAACTGCAACTTTCCACTTCAATCCAGGATATGACTAGGGTAATAGAGGGTTTCTATTAGCTGGAAAGGCCCTGTACCAGGGCTATATAAAAGTGGGACCATATTTAATTGTTAAGCTTAATCAAGGATCAATAAGACCTATTAAGTTTGATATCCGATCCTTAACTCCTGCTGACTGCATGTACCCCTAAAAACTGCTGGACGCCCAAAATGTGAAGAAATGTGGACCACACCATAGTTCTCTAGCGTCCCAAGAAAATACTGATTCACGTGTGGCATGACATTTATGATGATATATGGTAGTATGTTTCGAAAGGCAAGGGAAAGATAGAAACGTTTCGTCCCTCCGAAATTGAAATTAGACACAACTCTATGGCTCAAAATCAATGGTCACGGCTGTTTCAAAACCAGTCAGTTGCTTCTACCGTTGGAGTTACTATAGCTACCACCGGGCTTTTAGGAGTAGCCTTGTTGGTAAGCTAACGCACATCTGTATCAAACATGTATTAATGAATAGAAAGGCAGTATCGATAGTTTTCTATCGCTTATTACTGCATCCCTATAGCAAATACCCAGGTCCCATCATCTCCAGGGTGTCTGGACTCCCGGTTCTTTACCACGCGTGGAAAGGCGACTTTCATCATTATCTCTACTGCCTTCATTATAAATACGGTGAGATCATGATTCAAGTTACACTACTGAAAAGTTACCTCCCGCGCCACCTTATTGCACATTCAGACTTACATTAATTTCCTAAGTCATGATAACACCGCATCTATAACACTGACTAAACCGTACAGGAGAGAAGGTTCGCTATTCACCAAACAAGTTGTCAATCAATAATGTCCAGGCTCTCAACGGTATATGCCTCAATACATTGATTCGAGCTCACTATCTGATGTCAAATAGAGATATATGGTTTCAACAAGAATGTCTCAAAGCCGGAAGAGTTCTACTCGGCCTTCAGGGTCAACCCGCACGCAAGAAATGTTTTCAATACCCCTCACAAGGAGGAGCACCGTAGAAAGCGCCGTATCATGAGCAAGGCCTTCTCCGCCAAAGCTCTTCCCAATTATGCATATTTCATATCTTCCAAAGTGGAAGAATTATCTACCAAACTCAATGGCGGACACGCTTTCGGTGCGGAGAATTCCTGGAGAACCTTCAATATGGCTGACGAGTTCAACTACCTCATGCTTGATATTATGGGCGGTCTTTGCTTTGGCGAGGCCTTTGGATTCATTGCGGGTAAGGGGATCGAGACCATGGCTAATGTTCACAATCGTGCCGTTCGCATCTACATGGTAAAAGCATCCGTCATACATCGATTCTTTGGTAAAGACTAATAACTTGAAGACAGGCCAAGAGCCTCTCCTGAAACGGCTATCGCTTGATCGGATCTTTTTCCCGCACCTTTTCAAGGCGACAAACGCGTTGGGTCAATACACGCGGTTTTATACCCAGAAACGGATCCAGAGCAACGCTGTTGCTTTGAAAAACGATCAACCGGTAGATGAGGAACAATTTGACGATATCCTGGGCCATCTTATCAATGCCAAGGATGATGAGAGCGGGAGTGTTTACAGCGAGAACGAGCTGCTCGGCGAAGCAACCTTACTCATGATGGCCGGTGTGTTTAATTTTCATGCCATTAAGCATGCGCACAATCACATCACCCGCTAATAGATCAATTCTAGGATCCGATACGTCAACGACGGCAATCAATAGCACCCTGTTCTATCTTGCGAACCATCCTCGCATTGTCGAGAAGCTGGAAGGAGAGTTGAAAAGGTGTTTTCCACGCCTCGGGGATATCCACCCCAACACAGCCGAAAATTGCAAATACTTGCGCGCCTGTCTTGACGAAGCAATGCGGCTCTGCCCGTCCGTCCCTTCCAGTATTCCCCGGGTCGTTGGCGAGGGTGGAATCCGCGTGATGGACGAAGACCTCCCGAGTGGGATGTGGGTTTCGGTTCCGCACTTCACCATCTTCCGCAACCCAAAGTACTTCCGCCAGCCGCATGAATACATCCCGGAGCGCTGGATTGCCGACGAGGACACAGGGTATAGTGCCGAGGATGTGAAGGTTGCACAGGCTGCCTTCCAGCCCTTCTCGTTAGGGCCGCGACATTGTATCGCGCGCAATCTGGCCCTTCGTGAGATTACATTTACCCTAGCGCGCATTTTCTACTTGTATGAAGTGCAGCCGGTGAAGAACAGTGGGAGGTGGATGGGATCTCTTCCTGGCATTGATGGGCAGAATAGCCATCTCATTCAGGAACAGTGGGATGTTTTCACTTCGCTCGAGAAGGGACCGATCGTGAAGATCAAAATGAAGGAGGGTGTTGAGTTGCTTCTTTAGAGGGAGATGTATCTATCTCTGAATGGGAGTTAATTCGTTCAACGAAACATAGCGAGGGGGATTCAATTGCCTAACCAGAACCGAACAGTCTTCAACAGCCACATCGTTTAGGGATCTTTGCAATAAAATTTTCGATATTAGGGTTTCATTAAGACTAGTTTGTGGAAGTTTCAGGTCTGGAAGGTTCAATTTCGTTTCTAGTCTAATGCCTAAAATCAATCTTTTTTTGCATTACATATAATAAGAGCTTTATTAGCTATTATATACTTAGCTTTGGCGGGCATGTTGTGCTATAGAGTATAGCTATATGAAAAACTATATCCGCACCCTTTATAAGAGATTCGTATCTTTAGTAGTTTTGTATTTGCTGAGCCTCCAAGTCTGCCGTGTATAGAAACGACCCTAGTCATACAAGGGACTTACAGCGCCACGATTGCGCAATACAAGATAGATAGATTGAGATCTCACGAAACACTCACTATTACTCATCCGCATAGTGTAGCTACGAGTTGCCGTGCAAGGTCATGTATCAAAATGACGCCTTCGAAATAAGCTCGCTAATCGACTCACATTACTGCATATCCCTTCATTGCTTGATGTTTTAGTTGCAGCGATACGCATAGTAGGGTTACATAGAGTCTAATCAAAGCTCGGACTTCCGACGTTGTTTTCTAAGCGGACATAATACCGCTGTAGGATGTTCGGAATGAATGAAAGCCGAGCAGATAAGCAATAAGGATATACCTTTGCTGCTAGAACTTGTTATATCCAGCCTTATACTCGCATAAGCACTAAGAAAAGCATGACTGCAGGGTAGTATTTAGAGTTATATCGTTTAACTGGAATAATTATACGAGGGATCTTAGCGTAAACTAAAGCTACCACTACTTCGTAGTAAGAACTTAGCAGAGCTTATCTTGCTTCACTTAATACGCTTAGGGCGCTGCGTATAACCTAGTTAGGTCCCTCGGCAGTAGATCTCTATAATAAATAATAAAGTATAGATTGTTAGGATAAGGGGCTGCATCCCGACCTTTCTAGTCATGTGATTGGGCATGGCTTAGTCAGCGAAGAGGCATCACCTCTTCGCGTACTCAACACCATACCAAATGCTAAGTATTATTAACCAGAAAACCCAGTATCAAGTCCTACTATGTAGTAGAGAAGTGATCACGTATAGTTTATTAATTTTCTATCTAATTAAACGCTATTTACTAAGTTGTTTTATACTATATAGATTTATCCTAGCACTTATCTATATTTAATTACAATCTTATACAGTGATCGTATTCTTATACTTCTATATTAGACGAATCTTAAGTAATATTCGGACATGTGGGTCTAAAACCCTACATATCTGCCCCCTTCTAGTAATCCTAACCGAGTCGAGAGTGCGGTTTTAGTTATAAGCAACTTTATGGGTGCGGTTTGGGTCATTTGACATTAAATAAATGGATGGCCTGATACGCGTATAGATCCCGTAAAACTAGTCCCTATTCATGCTAAGGGTACCTGCAAGTCCCAGGCGTAGTGATAAATCCCCTTAGAACCCCCATGCTAGTCTGATTTTACCTTCACGTAAAAGCCAGCAGTTAAACATTAATTAACAAGGGGGTTGTCTTATCCCGTGTACATATGCCCGAGATTATATGGTGCTCACGTAAGATGCGCCTCATTGTTCGCAGATATAATTAGAAATAAAGTATAAATCAAGGTTCGACAATTATTCTTTTGTGTAGTCATTCTTCTGCTTTTCTAGCTATTTAAAAACGCGGTACTTGGATACGCAGAAAGGCGCTACTTCCCGGCTGTGTAACTTTGTGTCCAATTTGTGCATTCAAGTTTAGACCTCCAGCCTTGGACTTAATGGAGGAGGAGGATTGGGCTGAAATTTCAGACGCTGAGCTCCGTAAGAGAATTCAGAATCGTCTAGCACAGCGCAGATGCCGTGAGCTGGCCCCTTTTATGATAGCTTTTCATAGCTAATCTGAATCAGGCCGAAAACATCGAGACAGGGCTAAGGACACAACGGAGAACGGCCAGACTGCTCGGCCGGACTTAACTATTCATACTTCTGATCAGAGACCAGCGAAATCCAGTATCCACAACACCAGGTATTCTCAGTCATCGTTTGTCTCTCCGGGGTCAGCAGACTCCAGGGACTCGGGGTCTAACACACTAGCCAGTGGGCTTGACGAGCCGAGAAGACTGGAAGGTGTAACGGATCCACAGTGGGGTGTAGGCGCCGGGTATGGCAACGTTGGGTCAAGTATTGACTCTGACGGGAGGAATGGTGGCACAGAACCGAGATGTTTTAGTTCCCAAATGTCAGCTTTATATGATGGACGTCAACAACCAGAGTTCCAGCAGCAGCACGAGCCCCGAAATATCAGCCAAATCATACATTCTGGAAGTAATAATGAGGATTACCAGGGATGGAGCTCGCCAGGAACCAATTTATGGCAACAACAGCCTTCGATTCCTATGGGAGAACCGACTTCGATTTGGGGCAACCAAAAACAGCATTCGACAGTGCTCGAACATCGCCCTCCCCAACATAACGAATGGGTCACATCTGGTAAGATAGGTGAATACTTGCAACAAGGCAGTGTTCAGAATGGCGCACCAACAGCACGAGACTACGGCCCCAATATGTTACCGTCACCACCTTCATTAGGCTCATACGGTACAGGGCAGCACTTACCCTCTTCTCGCCCCTCAACCCAAAGTGCCAGTGAATCCTGCACTGACACAATGCCTTCTCCGGCTTCAACGTTGTCGCTCGTAACAAGCCAGAGTTCACAGTCTCCACGCACGTCCAAGCAATTTTCTGGCCTAGAGATGCTCCGGGATCATGGCATTAATCTTGCACAACTGACGTCGGAGGCCGATATCCAAAGAAGACCGTCAGTCAATTCAATACCCACAGCAGCAGTACAAAGAATGTCTCAAGGGGCCCAACAGAGGTCGCACTTTGAATGCGAGTGCTCAGGCCAGTATAGTGCCCATCGTCGGCAGAATTCCAGCCAGAATGAAGTTTCTGAAGACGAGAATGAGCCCGAATGTGGCATTGGGCCGGAGGCAAATGTCACCAAGGTGATCGTGATATATATGCAAAATGGCAACTGTAGTTCTAGACGAGGGACTTGATAGACTTAAACTGTTAAATAGGTAAACAAAGAATTGGAGAATTAGAGACGTAACAAATTGTGAGTCAGCGCATCACTGAAATTGTAGTGTCCCTCTTGCACCTCTTCTCACTGTGGCTTTCAACTCAAAAGTGATACGAAGAAGCCATGACAACAGACTGATGAGTCACTTGCAGACAGCTGTTACATACAACTGCCGAGGACGTTACATACAGAGTGACCTAAAAGGCTTCATGTGCATGATGCAGCATTGCATATTATAGGAGGCTTGAAGGTCAGAAATGGTGTTTGGTAAGACAGGCCGGATTAATAGTTTCTTTGGGTTATTAACGTTCTAAAATAATAGAAGCCTGTCTGCTTTGAAAGATGATCTTGAATTCTCATGGATCAGAGGCCTTGCGAGTAGCCCCGAGGAACCATGGCCAGCTTATTCCATAGTGTAAGCCCATGTTAAATGATGAACAAAAAACATGCCATTTAAAAGATGTCAGACTCATTGCCTCATATAGCAGTGGTTGGGCCACGCTACATCAGGATTGAGTAGTATGCAATAATCGAGACGAATAGCCAGTAATTCTATACTTCAAATATTTTCCACTGCATACAATCATTTGTCGTTGTTTCTAATCTCTCCTTGAATATATCCAAACTCAAACTCTAAACCATCAGAAACTCTCCTCGAGTTCCGAGCTATCCAAAATTCATTTAATGTCCAGATCAATGCCTTCAACAAAAGGCTGATATCCATTGAACCACCCCTCAGGATCGAAGACCTTTTTCAAACGTCTAAGTTTCTCCAGCCTCCACGGTTCATAACCGTACAAAGCTTCCGCAGGATCCTTAGAGCCATGTCCGTAATTAACATACTGCTGAAGACGCCCATAGCCCGAAGTACCGATAATAGCGTCTTGCTGTTTCGATAACCATTCGTCTATTACATCTTCGTGGGTCGTGTCTTTGTAAGCGCCCTCAATCATGCTGTCTCAATGTAAGCCTTGAACAGCCTCTCAACCAGAAAGTTTGGGAAACTATACAGAAAATGATCGGAACCCTTGCGCCATGGATAAGCTGTGGTCTCATCCGGTATCTCACGGACACGCTGTTGGGGAAATGTCTCAAACATAACACTGAAAGACGCTTCACCACTATATTTGAGGTTCATGTCTCGCCAGCCATCAAAGAAAGCACGCATAGTGGGAATGTCGTACTTCTTGACATTTGCCCCGTAGAAGTTTTTAATGGGAAACCTGGCCCAGCCCCCCGGTGTACAGAGGACGTTATTCAACCCATTATATGTGGCCCATGGTAATGCATCCCAGGTGGTTGTTTGAAAATCCTTCCAGATAGGTGACAAAGCATCGAAAGGTTTGAGAAATGGTTCTGCCTCCTCTTCGACACCCGAATATACTAGATTAATATTAATTGTCGGCTAGTAAATTGTCAGCACGTGTCTCGTCTCAGGAAATTTGTTTATGCAACTAACATTCCCACTTCTTCCAAGCCGTCGTCCAATAATGAAGATAGCAACCTCTGCAGGCATTGAGCTATAAATGTGGTTAACAGCTTCAAAGATGGACTCCACTTGATCCAATTCAAACTCCCAGTCGACAATGAAGTGCTTTCCATCGTTAAGTTGCGGGTATACCTGGTACGTAGCCTCCAGTGCAATCCCAAACTGGTGTCCCGCTCCGCGAACAGCCCAAAAGAGTTCCGGGTTGCTTGTTTCAGAAGCCACAACTATCGTTCCATTTGCGAGGAGCAGACGAAGGGAAACCATGTTGTCATTCAGGTAGCCATACTTTCCTTGAAGTCTACCGATTCCTGCCCCGAGCGAAATTCCAAGAACGCCGGTACACGGGCACGAACCCACAGCTTGAGTCAGTCAGCAATGATAAGAAATAGTCTTCTAAGCTCTACATCCATGGGATCAGGTCTAACTTACTCACTTCCATCCCTTGTGCAAAGGTTGCGTTCGCAAATTCCCCAGTTGTTATACCGCCACCAACAGTCATTTGTTGAGTTTGTTTGTTGTATTTGACGCTGTTCAAATTACGCATGTCAATGACGATAGAATTCTTCAGACGACGAAGAGATGTAGTCAAAGAATGGCCTCCTGATCGAGCTGCAAATTGAATTCCTCTGGAACGTGCATAGTTCACCTGATGAACATCAATTTAGTGTACAAGATAGCACTGAGATTAAAGAGCTCACAGTTTCAACGACATCCATTTCTTGGGCCACTTGGACGGCAATAATATAAGCTGGCCGCTTATAATTCGTATAACGTGCGTCAAAGGTGGAAAAATCCTCGTCCCCTTCCAATACAATGCGAGCCTCTGGTGATAGTCGCTTTTGAAGTTCATATTTAAGAGACAATTTCAGATAAGTGGTGGTATCCAGATGCTCTCCCTCAGCACCTTCTTTCCAAATAAGCTGGGATGACGGAGAGTATTCCACAGATGCATTTTCTGCGAAAGCAGGGGTAGTCCATGAAGACAGACTCAAGGAGAACAAAAGTTTCCATCTCAAGACATTTTGTATTAACATGATGTGAAGTAATCGATTTGAGATTGCGTAGTAATTCCTCGAAAGTGATGATACTAGGACGCAAGATGTACGGTTTCGCTTTTGGAAAAAGAAAACTTGAAAGCAGCTTAGCATTTCACAAATCTCAAAAGGAATGCCGTAATTTTGTCTCTTTCAATAATTCATCATCTGACTGACTTCTAGTAGTAATCGCTCAAAGCAGCTTAAATCTATAGATGTAGCCTTAATAATTATGCATGACTATGTGCTTCGTATACTACCCCGCCACCTCAATAAAGGTTAATAATCCTTTACGCCCCATAAAACGTAGGAACCTATATAGACTAGTGGTAAAATACCCTTGCAGACCCAATAAAACTAGTCTACTACTTATAGCGAGGGTACTTAAAAGTCTCCACAGGGGTCAAGTAACAAGACTCCTTAGAAATACCCTTGCCAGCCTGATGTTTTCTTCACGTGAAGAATCCACAGTGCTAATGGTGGGGGGAAAGTACATCTTTCCTGGCATGACAATGGCCTATGCAGTCATTCTGCAACGCGGTTGTCAGATCGCAAGTCACAATCTGCCAATGAAACTAGGTTTGCTCCTATCATGCAAATAATCACCGTCTTGGCAGTTTAGGAAGGTTAGAAGTTCAAAATTTCAAACCTAATGAAGAAGATTGTACCGAGTAATCCCGGTTATCACAAACATGACGTTTGCAGGGCACTCTGTACAAGGCTCTTATTTCAAGAATATGAGGAGAAGAGCATGATATGTAGTGCGAATGACTTTACGGAGGTACAGTAGTTGATTATCACAAATCGAAAATAGTGTATATGCCGCTAAGCCTTTTCAGGATATAGATCAATAAAGCGTAACCAAAATAGTATATAATATCTTGAATATAATTCCATATTAGGCTAACTTAATACTTATTCTTTTAAACTTGTAATAATACTTAACCTCTATACTCCGTAGACTTGAAAATTTAGGCACATTAAGACCCGAATTACTTAAAGAGGACGAAGTGCTAAATATTGTCATGCTTATATAATACAATCTAGCATTCGCTTACCGTAACTATAGACGGGAAAGGTGATCATAAGGGATCTCGGTATTAAAGGTCAATTGGACGTGTTTAAAGTTCTGCTATAGATTGCAAGTACTTCTTAATCTAGAAACTGCCGCTTGCACAAAGTTCCTCTTTGATGATTCTGGAATTTTCCTAAACGTAACAAGCAACTCTCTCTAACATCTGCTTGGGTTTACTCGACTTAGCTTATAGCTGCAATCAACTCAACTTGATAGACAACTTGCAGGCGTTCGGAATGGCACCTATCGCAGTTACAGAACCACATGCATCGGAGGCCCTGGACCCCATTGCCATAATTGGCATGGGTAAGATCACCTTTCTCTGGTATCGCGAAGAGCATAATAATAATGGATTTTAGGATGCCGCTGGCCAGGTGATTCGGAGACACCCTCCCAACTATGGGACTTTCTCCAGGCAGAAAGGGACTCTTACAGCAAGTTTCCAAAGGAAAGAATCAATGGAGAAGCCTTCTATCACCCTGATGGAAGTAGGCCCGGTTCATTCAAGACTGAAGGTGGATCTTTCTTGAAGAAAGACGTTCGATTATTCGATGCCAGCTTTTTCGGCATTCATCCCAAGGAAGTTCTCACTATGGATCCAGCCCAAAGAAAACTCCTAGAGGTAGTCTACGAGTCTTTCGAGTCTGCTGGTGTTCCCCTACATAAATTATCTGGCTCAAACACTGGAACTTTCATGGGTAACTTCAACTATGATCACCAGCTTATGCATTACCGAGATGCTGAGAACGCAATGCCGTATTCGGTCACTGGTAGTGGTGTTACTATTCTTAGTAATCGGATCAATTACATCTTCAATCTCAAAGGCCCTTCCATGACGCTCGACACGGCATGTTCGAGTTCTCTCTACGCACTTCATCTCGCTTGTACCGCTATTCAGACCGGAGATTGTACAGCTGCCGTTGTCGGGGGTTCCAACCTGATATTGACCCCAGAATGCCAAATATTCTCATCTGTTCTCGGTGCTGTTTCACCAACCTCGGTTTGTCATACGTTTGACTCCCGCGGTGAGTACTGAATCGATTCATGGAGTGCAGGACTAATAATTTTCATAGCCGACGGGTACGCTCGTGCTGATGGAATTGGAGCTCTGTTTATCAAAAAGCTTTCTCAGGCTGTGGCTGATGGCGATCCTATTCGAGGTGTGATAAGGGGGACTTCTTTTAATGCCAATGGTCGGACCGGTGGCATTACACACCCAAGCCCCGATGGCCAAGAAGCTTGTATTCGACGAGCATATGAACGTGCTGGTGGTCTCGATCCATCGCTCACGGGTTATTTCGAATGTCACGGAACAGGAACACCGGTTGGGTAAGTGGTCGATCAATGGCAGGCAGATAAACCGGCATTGATCATGATTTTCGGTATCTCGAGTAGTGAGGGATATTGAAAGTCTACTTTTACATTGATCAGTGCTACGTTTTTCTAGCTCCATAATGGCACTTGCCTATTTTCTTCAAGCAAAAACTAACTTTAATAGGGATCCAATCGAAGTATCAGCAATCGGAAGAGTGTTCTCTGATGTCAAGACTGGTTCCGATCCGCTATTGATTGGTTCAATCAAGAGTAACATGGGACATAGTGAGCCGTCAAGTGGTATTGCTGGAATTATGAAAGCTGTGCTAGCAATAGAACGAGGTGTCATCCCGCCCACGATCGGCATCGAAAATCTCAATCCAAACGTGGACTTGAAAGACGGGCGACTAAAAATCGTCATGAAGAGCACTCCATGGCCGGATCTTCCCGTTCGAAGAGCAAGTATTAACTCATTTGGCTACGGAGGCTCAAATGCGCATGTGAGTATATCTGATTTCTCAAGTTCATGGAGACTGACTCGTCTAGGCCATCATCGAATCGGTTGAGACACTTCTACCTGGATATAGATCGAGCCACCAGGCCAGTCAGGAGTCTTCGAGTATGGAGGCTCTCGCCAAAGAGAATGGAATTCCACGACTTTCCAGCACCAATGGCCACACCAATGGCCACACCAACGGCCACACCAACGGCCACACCAACGGCATAAGTAATGGGGGTCAAATCAAATTGAACGGAAATGGCCACAGACCGACACAAATTCGAAAAAGCCGATTCCTACTCCCATTTTCAGCACATGATGAAAAGACTCTCCAAGCGAATTATGATGCCTTGGCGAAGACTATTTCCAGTTGGAGCTTGACGGATGTTGCTTACACTCTAAGCGCAAGGCGCACCTTGCTAAATTACCGATCGTTTGTTATCACGGATGTTGACGAATCAGTCCAAGGACTTCCGGACAGGAAACTTAGCGTTACTAAGAAACGTTCTGCCGGCGAGCCTGTTCTTGGCTTTGTGTTCACAGGACAAGGAGCGCAGTGGCCTCAGATGGGACAAGCATTGATGAAAGAATATCCGAGCTTCCTCGCGACGATTCGGAGGCTTGATAAGTGCATTGACGATCTGGACGAAGCTCTAGGCCGAGACTGGAGCATTGAGGACGCTTTGCATCAAAATGCTGAGCAGAGCTTAGTTAACAACGCGGAACTCTCGCAGCCTCTAGTGACAGCAATCCAGATTGGACTTGTGAACCTGCTTTCTAAGTGGAGTGTGACGCCTCAAGCAGTGGTTGGCCATTCCTCTGGGGAGATAGCTGCATGTTATAGTGCTGGGCTCTTGACCGAAGAAGAGGCTATGATCACCGCATACCTGCGAGGGAAGTCAGTTGCCCAAAACACTACGAAAGGGCTAATGATGGCTGTTGGGGGTTCCATCTCCCAAATTCAACCCCTGGTCGATGAATATGACGGCGCAATCACCATTGCATGCCATAACTCCCCTGAAAGTTATACCTTGAGCGGTGATCATCACGCAATGCTTCAACTCAAGGGGGTACTTGATCAGAAGCAGATCTTCTGTCGTGCGCTTTCTACAAGCAATAACGCCTACCACTCACACCACATGCAAGCTTTAGGGCCAGACTACGAGAAGCAGCTCGAGTCTTTAATGCCCAAGAGTACAGCGGTCAAATCTCTGAAGCGGCGTTCACCAAGCCCACTCAATAAAGCCGTCTTCTTTTCATCCGTCCTTGGCAAAGCAGCGCCTTGGTCCTTGCTAGGTTCCAGGTACTGGCGTAAGAATCTGGAGTCTCCCGTTCTGTTCCATCAAGCTGTATCAGAAATGGTAACGCAGGCATCCGTGGATATTCTTATCGAAGTAGGACCACATAGGTGAGCTTTTTATTGTTCGATTGGTTTACATTCCTTCTTCTAGAACAGATATTGCACCTACTGTTTTATGAAATGAACTATGCGACTGTTCGAGGAAATTATACTAATTCAGTCTCAGCGCCCTTCAGGGACCCCTCCGACAGCTTTCCAAGGCGATAGGCAGTGAAACCAAATTTCCAGAATATCTTACGGCGATTGTCAGAGGCAGCGATAACGTGAACGACTTACTCACCCTTGCCGGTAACTTGTTCAATAGAGGATATAACGTTGATCTTGCTCGGGTCAACGCCGCTGAAGGCAGAGCAGAGAATCAGTATGAATTGTGTAAAACCATCACTGATTTACCGCCTTACCAATGGCAGTATCCAAAGGAAATCACACTTTTCGAGAACCGATGGACTAGGGAGTGGCGACTGCGCATGCACCCCCGACATGATATTCTCGGGAGTCGCATACCAGGTGCAAATAAGAACGAGCCAACATGGCGAAACTTGCTATGTGTGAACAATGTCCCATGGCTCAAGGATCATCGGGTAAGTGCAAGGCCCATACTTTCTGGATCACGTTTAACATTTGATGTAGCTCGTAAAAGACATCGTTTTTCCCTCCACAGGTTACCTCTGCTTGGTACTGGAGGCAGCAACTCAAGTTGTTGAATTGGAAGGCTATAATGCCACTGATGTGGAATATTACGATATCCGGGATGTTAGCCTATCCAAGGCTTTGATTGTGCCAGATGATGACCGTGGCATCGAAACTCTGTTTGCCTTACGACCAGCCTCTTTAAATACCGTGTCTCGTCACCGCTGGCTATTTGAATTTGTCCTGACCTCCGTGTCAAGTGAAGAAGGAAATGATACATTCTCCGAGCACTGCCGTGGCCTGGTAGAAATTAGTTTTGAAAAACACAGTAAGTTGACCTAGCATGTTGCAAGTACAATCCTGACACCAAAAGATTTCCCTGCAAGCAGAGTCGTGAAAGAGATTCAGGCTGCTGCCTCGGTCAAGAAGATAATCAACGCTTCTCAATGGTACCAGAATTTCGCACGAGTTGGACTTTGCTATGGACCTATGTTTCAGGGTCTCTCCAACATCTTCGCAGCAGGGGAGAGTAACATGAGCGAAGCGCAAGTTGGCCTGGAGCCGACTGCAAAGACAATGAAAGGCGAATCGAGATATATTATACATCCTGCCACACTTGATGCTAGCATGCAACTCTCCATTCTTGCAGCGCACAAGAGCGTTGCAACAAAGTTCAAACGAGCTTTCATGCCTACCGCATTTGAGAGCATCAAGGTTTGGCCTCAGATCGCAAGCCAAAGCCACACTTGTGCCCAATCTTATGCCAGTGCCACATTGAAGGGCGTTCGAGGACTGTCTGCCGAAATTGTACTGCTAGGTGCCGGGGGAAATCGCATGCTCGAGGCAAACAATATCTTTTTAACAGCATCTGACCAGTCGGCCCCCAGGCTCATTGAGGATCCATCGCCCTACAGTCGTATTGTATGGAAACCCGAGTTTGAACACCTTACAACAACCATCATGGAGCAGATGTATCCACCAGTGCTTCTGAACATGGACGCTGTTATCCCTTCGCTCAACTATCTCGCTTTACACCAACTCATACACTTCAAAGCTACAAGCTCAGAGGTGTTTCAACAAGGTTCAGAGGAGCTCCATTTGCAGAGGCTCCTTGACTGGACGACGCAAAAACTGGAATCTGCAAAAGGTGACGCAAATTCTGACGCGAAAAAAATTACTGAATATACAGACGAATTTCGCGCACAAGAAATTGAACGGCTCTCAAATCTTCTGCTTCCACGGTCTTCGGAGGCTCGACTCATGTGCCATCTCTACAATAATCTTGCAGATATTTATGCAGGAAGAAAGACTGGTATTCAAGTCGCACTTCAAGATAATCTGCTTCTCGACAACTACGAAACAGGCCAAGTCTATCGCGAAGGTAATCGGAGGTTGGCTTCCACGGTAGCACTTTATACCCATTATAACCCTGGTCTCCGAATTCTAGAGGTCGGAGCGGGTACAGGAAGTGCAACCAACGAAATATTGCCTGCACTCAAGGGCGAGACTCCCTGGAGGCAATACCAAGAATATCGCTTTACGGATACTACAACATCTTTTCTCTCGGGCGCCGAAGAAAGATTTGCAAGATTTCATGGGATGACTTTTGGCTCTTTTGATATGGAAAGAAGCGCTGAAAGCCAGGGCTACGAGCAAGATTGGGACGTCGTGATTGCATCCAACGTCATCCATGCCACTTCGGATATCAAAAGCACGTTGCTTAATATCCAGAGCGTCCTTAAGCCTGGTGGTAAGATGATCTTACTCGAATTGACCCAACCTCAGCTCAGTGCTGGTCTGGTCCTCGGAACCTTCAGCGATTTCTGGAAGGCAGAATATGATCCCAGCTATCCACGATACGATGGTCCGTTCTTGACTAAGCCACTTTGGAAAACTGTCTTACCAGCGTCTGGCTTTCAGGGTCTTGACTTTTATTTGGACGACTATCTTGGAGATAATGTCTCTACGACCGTGATTTGTGCCACCACCATAGGAGTAGAGCCACGCATACCAAAGGCGATCAAAGAACCTCTACATGAAGGCACCACGATTATCTACCGTCATGCCCCATCCCCATTCATTGAAGCACTGGCTAGCCATATCAAGATCACGCAAGGCATCGCAGTGGATATCATACCAATTCAAAATATCGAGAATGTTCGCTTTCATCGCTTTATTTTCCTTGTCGAGATCACGGATCCATTCTTCATCGATGTCACGCCTGAGGAATGGAAAGCCCTCCAAACAGCCATCAAAGATTCAACATCTTCCCTGTGGGTTACCAAAGGAGATCTCATGATTGGCAAAGAACCCTTACATGCCATGATCTCCGGTCTTGCTAAGGGCATGAAGACTGAACGAAGTTCCCTCCGGTTCAGTATCCTTGACCTCGATAAAATTCCTGGAGAATCCGACGTCGAAGTATTCAAGCTTATCTCTCAGCTTGAGAACCGAGTAGCAGATTCTTTGAACATCAACAAAGATTCGGAGTATCGATACAAGGATGGCGTTCTGTATATCAGCCGACTGACCGCTGATGATACTCTCAACGAGAAAGGTAAAGCCATTGGGAATAAAGATTTCACCACCGAGCAGATTTCCCTCCATGAGTTGAAAGATACCCCTCTCCAACTCGCAATCGAGAAACCCGGTGTCTTGAGTACGCTCTACTTCAAGCAAGACCCTGAATTCACCACATCACTTCCTCCAGATGCAGTCGAAATTGAGGTCAAGTTTTCTGGGGTCAACAATAAAGATATTGCCGTTCTCACTGGTCGTCACCATTCCGACTCTATTAGCGACGAGTGCTCAGGAATCATCACGAAAATTGGAAGCACCGTTCGCGATTTCAAAATTGGTGATAAGGTGTACTGCCAATCTTTCGCAAAATTTGGGAATTTTGTTCGAGAGAAAGCGGCATTCTGCCAGCGCCTTGAAGACGGGGATACTTTTGAGGGAACCTGCACGCTCCCGATTGCGTTCGGAACCGCTATCTACGGTCTGATGGATCTCGGTCGACTAAGCAGGGGTGAAAGTGTGCTCATTCAATCTGCGACTGGAGGTGTAGGCCTTGCTGCTTGCCAAATAGCACGTATGATTGGTGCCGAGATATTTGCAACCGTCGGCACGGAAGAAAAGAAGCAAGAGCTGTTGAGTATGGGCTACGGGATCGAGGAGGATCACATCCTAAACTCCCGTGATCGTTTCACAGCAAAGAAACTACTCGAGCAGACCGGTGGCAAAGGCATTGATGTTATTTTGTGCAGTTCGCGCGGCGATCTCATGCATGAATACTGGCGATGCATTGCTACCTGCGGTAGATTCGTGGAGATTGGACGAACAGAAGTCCTGGACAATGGGAATTTGAGCTTGGATGTATTCCGACGAAATGCCACGTTCACTTCGTTTGACCTTGAAGTCATGAGTTTGAACAAACCGCAGGTGACTGCAAAGTAAGTAACCTTTTGCTTCTGATGATCTATTTTGATGCTCAAGCTAATATTTGACTAGTCTGATGAAAACCATCCAGCAGTTGAAAGCGGAAGGCCACATCAAAGCTTTACCGCTGCAGACTTTTCATGTTTCGGAGATTGACAAGGCATTTATGACTTTCACTAAGGGTTCTCATATTGGCAAGATCCTAGTCGACTATGACCATGCTGCAGAGCAGGCTCTTACAGTATGTTTTCCATAAGATCGATGTTAAAAAAGTAAACACTAACAAATACAGGTACAACGTAGCCCTTTCACTGCAACATTTGACCCAAGCGCCGCCTACCTGCTTATTGGCTGCCTAGGTGGCCTCGGCCGCAGCTTTTCTGCTTGGGCTGTCTCACGGGGTGCCCGCAATCTCATCTACCTCTCACGTACTGGCGCTGCAAAGGATGAAGCCAAAATATTCCTTGCAGGGCTAGAGTCTAAGGGAGTTAATATCTCCATCGTGAAAGGAGACGTTACGTCTCTCGTTGACGTTAAAGCGGCTGTCAGCAGCAGCAGCTTGCCAATAAAAGGCGTCGTACAAGGTGCCCTTACGCTACAAGATGGCCTCTTCGAGACAATGTCCTTGGAACGATTTAACGCAACGGCACTACCAAGAGTAATCGGAACCTTGAACCTGCATGAGGCACTGAAATCTGAACCACTAGATTTCTTCGAGATCTGGTCTTCGTGGACGGTCATTTTCGGAACGGCTACGCAAAGCAATTACTTGGCCTCTAACTCCTTCTTGGATGCTTTTGCGCGCCATCGTCGAGCACAAGGATTACCGTGTACTAGCTTAGCACTGAGTCAGGTGCTTGGTATCGGTATTGTATCGTACATGCCCGAGTATCAACAAGCAATGATTCGCAACGGCTTCTATGGCAACGATGAGGACGAGTTCTTGCAATATTGCGAAGCTGGTATCTTACCCCCAACTCCTACCGATACTGCGGACCTAGCTTTCCATTATGATGCTCAGTCCGTCGGTCATCTTCTCGTGGGCATCGAGCCAGCGGGCCTGCAAACAGTTGATCAAAAATACCCGCTCTCGGAAATGCTCTGGGCTCGTGACCCCCGTTTCCAGAATCTGATTCAAGCCACCTCGTTTCTGGCATCTGGAGCCCTTGAAAAACGTGCCAAAGGATCCAATGAAGAGGAAGGTTCGACGCTAGATCGCATCCGGATGAAGATCTCCCGATTACTTTACGTTCCACTAGATGAGGTAGACGTGGACAAGGCGATCAATGATTATGGCATTGATAGTATGATTGCAGCGGAGTTGCGGAATTGGTTCTTTTCAAGTTTTGGAAGAGAGGTTAGCTTATTGAAACTGTTGAGTGCGACCATGACAGTTCAGAGGCTGGCCGAGGAGGCGGAGGTGAAAGTAGAAACATAGTGAATTTAGAGAGCATTCTCTTCTGACGTGAATGGCCGATAGAAAGAGATCGGGGCCTCTATAGACGTATAGCTTTTGAATATATTTATGTTGTTGGCTTGAGTCCTCATGGTGTTAGTTGTATCGATATCGCGTCTAACGTGAAACCAAAGTCACGCAGTCATTCTGGTACTGACATAATCGTCAACCCTATCTAAAGACCTAATCGGGGGAGCAGTCTAAGCTCGAGCTGAGAGGTGGTATAGTAGTGAACACGCAGATAGGAGCTCTTCTGCTAGCAATACAATTCAAGTAGCAACTACACCTCTTGCTAATGGGTACTTTAAGCTTGATCTAGCTATGAAAGGCCCGAAGACAACTGAAACTATCAAAAGCATTCTGGTTATTCCTGAAACGATCTGATCTTTGCAATGATTCTACTACGGGTGCACTTCACTTTCGCAAATCTAGAACCCATAATGTATGTACCAGGAGTAATTTCACGTGGCGTGATCGCTTGGAATCCCCATCTCCGCTCCAAGTATTTACTATCTCATCTAAATACAAGCAAGTTCTGGCCTCCAAAGCTCTTGACAAAGGATTCAGGTGTTCAAAGGTGCTTGGGTATAGAATTTCAGCAACGTAAATGAAGGAATGGCTCGGAATCCAGAACGCGGGACAGCCTGCCTTAAGTCGCTTACCGCTCTTTCTGGACACCTATTCATACCGAAAAGAAACAATGTCAGGGGTATATATTTTTATAATCATTTAATGAAAATGAGGCAGCCTTCTAGAAATATATTCATGATATATGAAGTAGCTAGTCAGGCTAATTTTATTATATGATTATAGGTTAAAACATAGATTTAATAGGTTTCATTATCTATATAAAGATAATTCTCAATTTCCTTTAACTAGTTTTTAATAATAAAACTCTATAAACTAAAAGTAGGTAAAGACGCGTGGAAAAATTGCTGTTTTAGGTATAAATAGGTATCCCGGAAGGTGTTTTAGGAACCTACCCGCCGGCTTACTCGGCTGAGATCAAGTTGGGAAAAACAAATGTCACGATTAGTAGCCGTAAAATGGTCCGGTCTGGGGGTCCCTTGGCTAGCTAAATCCTAGTACTTGTCTGTCAGATACATGGGCCATATGCGGTCAGGGTGGTATTCCAATGTTTCAAACCGTATCTACATTCTGCAGTCAACAGTGCTGCGTCCTTGATCCTTGTTAAATCGTGTCATGTCATGCTTAGTCTTTAATGAACATTTTAGATCGGTAAAAACATTGTTATGCTATTATAATTCTTATCGCAGTCTTGTTTTCATCCCGGATGTAATCACTAGTCTTTATCAGAACATATAACTGAAAGCTTGAAGTCTCAAATGTCTTTTTCTAGCTTTGAAAAAAGATATTCTGCGTTCACACCAGAACACATTATACTCCTTGAAAGATAGTTAATTTCCAAGCCGCCGATTTTAAATTGCTCCAGAGACAAATCATCTTCCAGATCGAGGCATTTTGACCTAGTCAACATGCTTCAGTCATTCAAATTGAACACTTTTAGCTTGCCAGTTCTAGGGGCGGCTGCTTTTGTTGCCTATATAGTACTTCAGATCATTGGACAGGTACCTATCTCGCATCCTACCAGAGAATTGAGTAGTTAATCTGGCTAACATGCTTCTAGACTATATATAACCTTCTTTTTCACCCATTGAGGTCAATACCAGGTCCATTTATTGCAAAAATAAGTTCCCAATGGATTGGCCGTCATGATGCCAATGGAGATCGCACCTTGTCAGTTCATGCAGCCCACGTCAAGTACGGACCAGTAGTGCGTATCGCTCCCAACGAGGTGTCCTTTGCACCTGTAGAAGCAATCAAAGAGATATACGGACAGGCTACGCCTTTCATGAAGACTGCATTCTACTCGGGATTTGAGCAAGGGAACATCCTTACTCTGTTTACCAGCCGCGACAAAGTCTTTCACTCTCAGCGTCGCAAGCTCTTGAGTCACGCATTTGCACAGAAAGCCATTCTGGATGCAGAACCGCTATTGGGAGAACAAGTGAAGAAGTTTCTCGGGTGGCTAGAGAAGAAGAAGGGACAGGATATGGATGTCTTTATGTGGTTTCGGAATCTGACCTTGGATCTTACCAGTTCACTATTCATGGGAGCAGAAATTGGGGGTCTTGACGGGGATGTAGCTCATGACTATTTGAGCAACATCGATGACTATTTCAAGATTGCTGGATTAAGGTTACAACATCCATGGTTATTGGAACTCATGAAACTTGTACCTATTCCAAGGTGGCAGTATTTCGTACATGCCCAGGATCGGCTATACGAGTATGGCGTGAGCTCTTTCCAGAAATATATCGAAAAGTACGGGCGCAACTCCAAGAGGAACGATCTGCTGAAGAAAGTACTCCATGGAGATAGCACAGTTCCAAAACTTACAGATCTGGAGGTCCGCACCGAGATGGCAAGTATTCTTGTCGCTGGCATGGACACTACGAGTATCGTGCTCACATATGCTTTTTGGTCTATGGCCAAGAACCCGGACTTTCAAGACAAGATTAGACAGGAGTTGAAAGAAACTGGTGTTACTTTCACAGATGGTATGGCTTCATATCGAGAAATCGAGCGCTTGGAATACTTAGATGCCTTTACACTTGAAATATTGAGAGTCTACACGGCAGGCTGCTCGAGTTTGCCTAGAGAGGTTCCCGCAGGGGGAGCCGTTATTTGTGGAACCAAGGTCCCAGCCGGAGTAAGTCTTCTTCTGTGAACTCTGGTGGGGTTTTTTTCAGCTAAGTTCTTTCCAGGCAACCATCTCTACACAGGCCTATACCCAGCATTTAAATGCCACCATCTTTCCAGAGCCAGACAAAATCATTCCCGAACGCTGGTCAGGTTCCGTACCAAGGGGCAGCCCCCAGATGAGAGAAGCCTATATCCCGTTCTCAAGAGGGACCCGAGTGTGTCCAGGAATCTATTTGGCGACGATGGAACTGAAACTCACATTCGCAAGTATTCTTCATAAGTATCAAGTTGCCTTAGGTGATAGGACTACAGCAGACGTTATGAGTAGGAAGGATCACTTTGTACTATACCCAAAAGGAGGCTTTTGTGATTTGGTTTTCACAGATCTGTGAAGGTCTCATTGGATAGAACAGGAACGAATAGGTAGCAAGGGAAGTAATAAGACTCTTGGATAAAAATATTTCGGCTGCACATTCAAATGATAGAAGTGATTATCAGCCTGCAAATTCAAAAATGCAATACCAAAGAAACATAGTCCGTTTTAATAGCATATAACAAGTGTAGACTATATGCACATATCAGCAAGTTATAAGACCAAGATCTCTCGCCACAAAGCAATGTCTATCTGAGCAGTTTATCAACCTAAAATACAGCTCTTCAACATAGGGAATAGGGGCCTCGAAACTCGTAATCACATCTGACACATGGTTGCAACCAAGATTGTAGTTAATAAGAGACTCTATGAATAATATATTTTCAAAGCCATGGTGAGCGCAGATTATAGTAATCAGTGCACTAAGTTCGTCTTTAAAAGCAGTTCTGGCTCTCTTCTCATGGAGTAATAGCCCCATTCCATAAACCATATATTCCCAAGACACTCTCCCCTAAGCCTAACTCAAATTTCCCTGCTGTCTGATTCCCACTCAATTGCAAAAATTTACGTATATTGGATTGCTCCTCAGGAAACTGCTCGATATCATAAAAAGCCTGAAAATCCAGCTTGGAAGCATCGCTTGGGGGGTTAAGATAGGACAGCACAGATTTCGTTTGATTGATCGATACAAGGGGAAATCTAGCAATTCGTTGTGCCAGTTGCAGTACCCCTTGTGTAAGCTGAGTTGGGTCGTCGTAATATTTGTTGAAAAGACCCAAAGTTTCGCCGGTTGGTCCATCAAACGTTTTGGCGGAAAGGAGATACTCTAGTGCCTTTGCCTTTCCTAGGAGAGAGCCCAAGAATGTCTGTCCACCTCCACCAGCGACAAGCCCAAGAACTTCTTCAAAAGAGCCAGTTCGCGCACCAGGACCTACAAATCGCATGTCCATCTGTGCTATAAGTTCATTGCCAGCACCGAAAGCGCGGCCGTTGATCTCAGCGATGAAGATTGTAGTCGTAATACTTTGAAATAGGTCGGCGAACTTGACGTAGTCGGCGCCCATCTGTTTCTTTGCTGTTGTAATGGGAACTTGAAGAGAAGTCATGTCGATGTGGCCGAGATAAAAATCCGGATTTGAGGAGTCAAAAATAACAATTTTCGGGGTAGAAGACGTGACATTCTGCAAGGGGGTGAGGAATTCGAGGATGTCATCGATGAAAAGTCTATCAACAAAGTTGACAGGTCCATTGTTGATAGTTGCCCGAGTGATATTTTGTGATGGATAAGTGAAGGTCAGAGTGCCGTGGGTTGAGATATCACGACGGCTAATGGGCGAGTAGGAGGCCGTCGCAATGGCATTCACCACTGAAGATGAGAGCAAAGGCGATAAAAGTGTCAGAAAGAAGAGCATTCTCAGGAATAGGACAGAAACGTCGGTATGTTTTAGAAAAGTTGGCAAAGGTTATTACAGGCTGCTTCAAATAGAACGAAGTATTCCATTGGCGCACTTCCGGCTTTAGTAGAGAGTATTTGACTTCTTTACTCTACACCTTGGGCTTCACCATTATGAGGCTAGCTTGACTCCAAGCCATGGGAGATATGCCAATTCCCGAGAAAGCAAACGTGTGAAGAAAGAACGGCTCGCGGAATTTGTTGAAAGTGTTGTCATGAAGGCCGCGTACCCCCGCCATGACTGCGGGGTGGGGCTCTGAAAAGGCGCTGCATCATTTCCATAAAATAGAGGTTAGAAATTGTTTGGGTACATGCTAGGAGAGGAAACAAATCTTCAATTTACGAGGTGTGACTGCGTCATGCAATGCAGTCAGTGTAAGGATAAAGATCTGACATGCTTAGAAATCTGACCACATGCCAGCATGAGGGATTTACCACAGCACCGCGTATTTCACCCAGAGAACATGCTCTCCAGTAAAAGTGTCGAAGCTAAATAGACATTCTGATAATCTAAAAGTACATAGAATATTTTTCTAAATTATTACTCGTTGTGTAGACATGCTTCCTTATCTCCCATACGCTGCGTTTTCATGCGTTTGTCTTCTATCCAGTCTGCTTCCAACTGTTGCGATGGCACTCAACCCTAAAGGATGGCTCGATATCCATGGGCACTTCACGCTTCCCTTTAGCAGTCCAGCAGCGGCCCAAGCACAAGTGGAAGCCTTCCACAGTATAAACTTCCTGGTCTCTGGTCCGTGGACATTCTCTGCAAAGGACACGCTACCATACCTCGACGAAGCCCAGATATCAATGCAAATGCTTTCCTACATCTCAAGGGATCATGCCACACTCCAAACAGCCAACGATTTCGGCGCCAACGTCGTTACCCAATATCCGTCTCGCTTCGGGCTTCTGCTGGCGTTACCTACTGATAACGTCTCGCTAGCCTTGTCAGAGATCAAGCGCGGTGATAGTTTTGCCATACCAAACGACGGATATGCCCTTCCAACCATATACAATGGCGTGTTGCTCAGCGATCCTTCTCTCGATCCGGTATTCGAAGTTTTAAATGCGCGGAAAGCTGTATGTCACGTACATCCAAACGCAGGTGCAAACGGGACGGATGGCCGCCCAAGCCCTTTGATTGATGTTGCTTTTGAAACCGCGCGTGTTGCAGTGGACATGATGTACCGCGGTGTATTTCGGAGATATCCCGATATTATATTTGTCTTCGCACACTGTGGTGGAGCATTACCCGTCCTAGCTGGTCGGCTTGCCCTGCTGGGCGCTGAGAGCTGGGTCCCGAATCCCCTGAATCTAACGAAAGCTGAAATTGAGAAAACTCTAAACAGTCTTTATGTGGATACAGCGGCGACAGCGAAGACTGGTATGGAGGTTGCGGTTAAGGTGGTGGGCATGAGCCATGTGATTTATGGCGATGATTGTAATGTGCAGTGCTCCACAAACGCCACCATGCTGGAGAATCAACAAGATGTTATTAATATCGAAAACGAACTTGTTGGTGAGACGGGTGTTGTGGCGAGTAATGGATGGGCCCTATTCCCGGCTGCTGCGAAAAGAGCAGCGGCTGGGCAGGAGAAACTAAACTCAACTTCTGTATAGTACTTATTACTATAATATATTTACCTCCTATTGTCTCGTCACTGTATGTCCTAGATAGAATGGGCGTCTAAAGTGAGTTGAAGGGGATTGTTGAGTGAGAGGAGGGTTCCGCTTCCCTAACACTATAATCTCGGGGAGATAACGGGTTAGAAGGAGCATGAATATCGTTTGGTCTACCGAAGAATGCAAAATAAACAGATCTGCGTATAAAAAGCGACGTTATGGTTTCGCCTTGTCCGTCTATCTCCACATGAAGGTTAGATATAGGGAGAGATTTGGCATCCCACGTATGAGCCTGGTCATCTGGGAAGCCACATCTACTCCCTGAAGCGTTAGGGTCATCGCTAACAAAGGGGACACACATTTGCTCTACCAAAAGGGGTGTCGCAGTTGCAAAAAGCCCTACGATCTGGTCAATGTGAGACTCGGGGGTATGGTCAGTATACTGGTAGCGGTCTGGTCTGCGCGCATTTGATAAGGCAGTACGTGCGATCTCCCTATCGGAGGATCGTTGCTTCAACGCAGAGATCTGTTCAGAATGAAAACCCGACCGATCAGCAAGAGCAGCGAAGTCGGATAAGACGACCTCTCTGGCTTTGTGGTTCTCGCTTTTGCCAGGCGTTTCTGCCTTCCCATGTTTTTCTTCGATTGTGCAGGCAAGCTAGGGTAGTTCTGCATTGCGTAAAGCCATAGATGTCGATACCCTATATCCCAATCATCCGAGCGCCCAATGAATTGGTTATCCAAGGCCATATGCATGGCGTTTCTGGCAGTTGGCTCAACCAGACGCCTCATGCTACCTGCGCAGGCTTGTAGGTAGTTGAGATCGGCAAAGAAGGTAAAGAGAGATGGGATGAGTCCGGGGGACATTGCGCAACACGTTCCAAATTATATCAAGGTCCTGCGGGCTACAGGCAGCAAATATCTGGCCGCTGACCAGCTGGCCATGGAGCTCCTGAGCGTCTAATTTGGAATATTTAGGGGCCTTAAGCTCCAAGGCCCTTACCGTAGCGCTGTCAACCATTTGCATCGTTTTTCTGTTATGATTGAGGAGCTGCGACCAGACATCTTTAATATGTGTAAGATAGGATAAGACTTCCTATTCGTACTATAAGTAAGCCATATATGCCGGTCGATGGAGACTCACCTCATCGCACCTCATACTAATCATCTTGTTTAGCTTGCTAATCCTCATCCCATCCCATAGCCCAGGTATACCTAAAAGATCATCGAATGCCGCCGTGAGCTCTGGACGACGAAACAGCTCGGTGAGACACCGCGTCTCATGTTTTGATAGACGAGCCCACCACCTCTTTTCGGAGTACACGTCCCGCTCGCGCCCATACTTATGTATTTTACATTAAATCTCGCCAGCAGTTGGCGGCTTCTCGTTTGCATATTCCTCGATCAAGGCAGCTTTAAGCTTATGGTCGGCGTCTACGAATGTTTTCAGTCAGGACTGAGCCGCGTCTCATGGATGCACACACCTGCAAGGTAGAGATCTACCGTCCACCAGCTGTCTCTTGGGGATAGGACTTCTCGTGCTGCTTGAACGCGGTGTCTCCCATGGAGGCAATGAAGTTGGGATCCCGCTGGAAATTCGAGGAATGGTTGCGGATCTCCATTACTCAGCAGGTTAGCCGAGATGTTTGATTTTCCCCGTTGGTCCATTGCTAGACTCGTGACTAGAATTTTAGACCATCAGGGCCACGTTTCCCCACAAAGCTGAACCTTCGGTGATCCGGATAGCAGCGCGCCCTCGGGCGCGGGGAGGCGTCAGCAATAATAAAGTTCCATAGACGCGGATCTAGAGGGTGCGGAGGGGTAAAGGAGAAGTGGCGTCGGAAGAGATTACTCTTCATGGAGATCTGGAGGAACGGAAGTGCTTGGCCGTCGAATAGGAACTTAGGAAGTATTGTAGAGGGAAAGCGGAACACCACCGTGTAGGATTTTGAAGCTTGAGCTGGATCTTGCGGTGGAATTTCTGTCAATCCCAACCCTGCCGCTGCGGGCTAAGATTCTAATATCCGAAAGATGAAAGATGGTAAAGGCTTATCGCCGATGGTCTACTGTACCTCCATATTTCACGACTACCAAGGTACTTGATAGCATTTGTGTTACTGTATGCACATCACCTCCTCGCCAGTCTTTCGCCCGGATTGCCGATGATGCTTTCGCATCCACCTTCCAAAGCCTACCGAGGACGATGGGATTTTCTCTCGCATTTAGATGAAATTCTACTGGTTCGACCGAGTGGAGGTCAAATTGCCGTCGGGTCTGGTGGGTCACGAATAACGAGGGCCAAAGTCAGAGTGCAGCAGGTTATACTTCGGTACGAAGTAGCTAGCTAGTAGGAGGACAGGATTACCTAGGTAAGGTAAGGTACCTACCTAGGTAGTCCAGCCATGGCGCGGACCTGTGGATGGCCATGCTTCAATACCCGGCCGGACGAAATCAATACCGTGCAGCCTTTGGTCCCTTCATCAGGCTTCATATCAACCTGGTACACTTTTAGACCTTACTAGAACTAATTCGAGGCTCTTAGTGTGAATGCATAGCCAGTTTAGTCAAGTGCCGTTGTAAGTGTGGAGTCTGGGTGCTTGTTGAACCCCTCATTTCTAGGACCACCTCCTTGCACGAACCCGCCAGGCTGTGAAATATGCAACGCAGCCATACATCTTTGGTCACTCACCACTCCTAAAAGCCGAGATTGTGTGTCGTACCTTCCGCTTGCAAACAGTACTTCAAGTCAACTTCCCCGCTCCCTCCTCCACCTCTTCCTCCTCCCCACACCTTTCATCTCCCTTCCACTCCATCCATCATCCATCCATCAAAACTCGCAATCCGCGCAACACCAACAAACAATCACGTTCTTCAAGACACATCCACTCCATACTACCATCAAAATGACTTCAGTTCAAGTCCACACGCCCTCCACGGGCAAATATGAGCAACCTACTGGTTTGTAAGTCGCAGCAATTCTCCCCATTACCCCGCACTCCACCTGTTGTGTGGCCGCCGCTGATATCCGCCACACTTCTATAGATTCATCAACAACGAGTTTATCAAAAGTGTCGACGGCAAGACCTTCGAGACCATCAACCCATCGACAGAGGAAGTTATCTGCTCCGTCTCAGAAGCCACAGAAAAGGATGTCGATATTGCGGTAGCTGCTGCACGAAAGGCATACGAGACGGTCTGGCACAAGGTGACCCCAGAGGATCGCGGCAAAATGCTAGTCAACCTCGCAAACCTCATCGAAAAGAATGCCGACCTCCTTGCCGCCGTCGAGTCGCTCGACAACGGAAAGGCTATTGGGATGGCAAAGGCTGACGTTGGTTCGGTTGCTGGCTGTTTGAGATACTATGGTGGCTGGGCCGATAAGATTGAGGGCAAGGTCATCGACACAAATCCCGATACCTTTACATATACTAGACAAGAACCCGTACGTTTTAGAATTCTCAGTTGCGCGAAACTTTCAAGCTAATTGCCTATACAGATTGGTGTTTGCGGTCAGATCATTCCATGGAACTTCCCATTGCTCATGTGGGCATGGAAGATCGGTCCTGCCATTGCCACCGGTAATGTTGTTGTTATCAAGACCGCTGAGCAAACACCTCTCTCTGGTCTCGTTGCTGCTAGCTTCATCAAAGAGGCTGGTTTCCCTCCAGGAGTCATCAACATCATCTCTGGTTTCGGTAAAATTGCCGGTGCTGCTCTATCGTCCCACATGGACGTTGACAAGATTGCTTTCACCGGCTCCACTGTTGTTGGCCGTCAAATCATGAAGGCAGCTGCTGGGTCCAATTTAAAGAAAGTTACTCTCGAGCTCGAGGAAAGTCTCCAAACATCGTCTTTAACGATGCTGATATTGAGAACGCCATCTCGTGGGTCAACTTCGGTATCTTCTTCAACCACGGCCAATGCTGCTGCGCTGGTTCCCGTGTCTACGTTCAGTCAGGTATCTACGACAAATTCGTCGAGCGGTTCAAGGCTCGTGCAGTCGCCAACAAGGTCGGTGACCCATTTGCTGCCGACACTTTCCAGGGCCCACAAGTCTCTCAACTCCAATTTGACCGCATCATGGGTTACATCTCGGAAGGTAAGAAGGAAGGTGCGACGGTCGTTACCGGTGGTGAGCGTCACGGTGACAAGGGATACTTCATTCAACCCACTATCTTCTCCAATGTCACAGAAGACATGAAGATCATGCAAGAGGAAATCTTCGGACCTGTCTGCTCCATCGCGAAGTTCGAGACCGAGGAGGAAATCATTGCCACTGGCAACAACTCCACCTATGGGCTTGCCGCCGCTGTCCACACCACCAACCTCAACACTGCCCTCCGCGTCGCAAACAATATCAAGGCCGGTACCGTCTGGGTCAACAGCTACAACATGCTGCACCACCAAATTCCTTTTGGAGGCTTCAAGGAATCTGGTATCGGACGAGAGTTAGGAGAAGCTGCTCTATCAAATTATACTCAATGCAAGAGTGTCTCCATCCGTCTTGGAGACGCGCTGTTTGGTTGAAAGAAATAATTGAGGTATAATGGAATCGATTATCGGCGATATGAATTTACTATGTACATAACTACCCATAGCATTTGCTTCTGCCAGAATTAAAAAAAAAAAACATGTAAATCAACAATGACATTTGGGGTACAAATTGAGATGATCCTTGTGGCGTGTATCAATCATCCGCAGTACTCGAGTACAAAAAAGAATCAAGCTACACAGGATTTGGCAGGGTAGGATATCGAAACAAGCGGCTTTTCCTAGGGCATCTTCACGATTGACATTGTTTCCTCGAAATGTTCCATCATCATAGCTAGGTAAGATTACCTAGGTACTTAGGGACTTGTCTTGTTCATGTTTTCCCGCACCTTACTTCAGCCCCACGTCACGGCCACGCCCAACCTCCCCAGCCACCCACGATTCAAGAAGCTCGCCGCGGGGTCATTACAGTATGATCTCTGCAAACGGACGGACGGGGGGGGGGGGGGCTTGGCGGCGTAATCGATAGTCGATAGGCGATAAGACGATAAGAGCTGTGATACTGTACAGTACAGTAGTAGCAGCGCAGCATCACAAGGACGACTGCAGGGCTTGGCGGTACATCCCACCATGGTTCCTGTGTCTGTGGCGCTCAAAGGGACTTGTCTGGTCCAATGGCCATCGCTTTTCATGTGACTACGTGCAGATGTCTATGACGGGCAAAGTTTAGCCTCCCCTCCTCCATGTAGAGGGGCTGCAAGCACTTTAGCTATCGTACCGTATCTAGGTAGGTAGGGTACTGTACCTAGGGTCTCGGTCGCGCAAGCTGAGTGAGAAATGATTCTACACCATCGGAGCTGGCTATTATTACTGCCTCTCTCTCCCTTCTTATCTTCTCCTTCTTCTCTCTTCTCTCTTCTTTCTCTCTGTCTCTCTATCCCTCTATTCTGTCGCGTCTACACTCTCAAAGCTCTACCTCCCTTCTCTCACCCCACTTGCCAAGTTGGCGATGAGGCTATCTCACATCTAACTAAACGCAACCATGGCCTCCCTCCTCCTCACCGCCTACCTCTCACTGTCAGCCGCAGCTCTTGTAAAAGGGAACGATGAAATAACCTGGGGATCAGTCATCTTCACCTACCATGGAGAGAAAATCCCCGCGCTGCACGATGGTCCTTACAACCTGACCCCGCTCGGCGCAAACCAGCTTCTCCAAGCTGGACAGACGATCCGCGATCGGTACATCAGTAGCCCTTCAAATAGTAGCATCACCGGCAGCTACCCAATTGATGGGCTGCAAGAGAATGAGATTGATAATGGTCAGATGTCTGTCCTGTCCACAACCGATGAGTATATCACTGCAAGTGCACTGGCTTTTATGCAGGGCCTGTATCCACCCAGAAGTACGGCAACTGAGGTTGTGGATGAGGAGAGCATTATGGGGAATGGAACGCTAGAGCAGTTTCCGCTAAATGGTAAGTCAACTTCATCAAGCGAAACTCCCTAGCCAGGGGGGTATTATCCTTCTTCCAAATCATACCCCACACTCTACTCTAAATGTCTTTTCAAAGAAGCACAACTAACTCCAGATCTTGGTATTTAGGCTATCAGTATCCCAATATTGCGAGCCTGAGCTTGTTGGATTTCAATTACATTTGGTGAGCAACTCCTAGTCTCTCGTTGCATTACTATTGTAGCAGGTCAAATTTCAGGCCTAAGGACCGGAAGAAAACTGTTCTAATGCGTGCTTATAGGCTAGCTGGCAATATCAACTGCACGAACTATTCGAATGAGCAGTACAATATGCTTGTATCATCTGATTCGGTTTCCAGAACTGTAGCAAATGAAGATTTCTATGGAGAACTCGCGCAATCCGTTTTTAGTGGCCTTCAATCCGACAGCGTCAACTATGACAATGCGTGGGACCTTTATGAGTATGCCCTTTACCAGAACTATCACAATCAGACGGTCTATAATTCTCTCGCCCCTTCCGATCTTGATAGGCTTTATAGCCTAGCCTCGGAGCAACAGTGGTCATACAATACGCCAACCAGCGGATCGTATATCAGCTCAATTGCCGGTCAAACGATGGCCTCAAAGGTCATCCAGCAGCTCGCCACTAATATTGCATCAGACGGAGTATCCGACAAATTGACCCTCATGTTTGGCTCCTACGAACCATTCCTCTCCTTCTTCGCGCTCTCAGGCCTCAGTACAGGTCCTGCAGCCGAAGCATTCAACTCTCTCCCACAACACGGTTCCGTCATGGCCTTTGAACTCTTCTCCAATCCCACAGGACTGAACACTTCCGAATCTTTTCCTACCCTAGATGAGCTCTTCGTGCGATTCTTCTTCCGCAATGGTACAAATAGTACAGACACCGAGCACTCGCTGACGCAGTATTCTCTTTTTGGCCGAGGAAACGAGGAAAACGACATGAGCTGGACGGACTTCGTGGACGGCATGTCGGATATCGCTCTCTATAAAATCGAGGATTGGTGTACGTCTTGCGGCGCTGTCAATATGTTCTGCGAGGCTATCGAAACGAATACCTCGGAATCCACCGACCAGGAAACCACCAGCAGTACCGCCCACAAGAACAGTCTCTCGCCAGCCATTGCTGGTGTTGTGGGAGCCGCTGTCACTCTTGCCGTGGGCATCATTGCCGGGATTGTTCTGTGCTTGTTTGGCTTCCGTGTCGATTACCGCGAGCGAAAACCGAATACCAACGCTGGGGACCTAGGTGTCGTGCGGAGAAGCGGCAGTGGGATCGGGGGCTTCAAGGGCGCGGAAAAACTTGCTAGTGACACTGATTTAAGATTGAAGGGGGGAGCGGGAGCGGGCGCAAGTGTCATCAGACACGAGCGAGTGGGAAGCTGGGAGCTGAATGAGGCTGCGAAGACCGGTGGAGGTGGGAAGCATTCTAGCCTCGACAAGGAGATTGGGGGTGTGAGAGCGGCGAACTACAGACGTCCGAGCGAGGATAGTATTGGGCATGAGAATCCATTTGGAGATCCCGTGAAGCCTTTGGACCAGGTGTAGGTCGGAGTTGATGAAGGATAATGCTGTGCTTGTTGTTTGTTCCTTGGAGGAAGGCGTTGGGTTTGTTTGGAGGATTTCATGATACATACAGGATGATACCCTTCTTTGTCTCTCACTATACCCCGTTTGTGTTTCTGTATTGGGCTTGCGTCGTTCGTGTTAGACGGAGGCGTTTTGGGTATGAAATACATTTGCGGCATGCATTGCAGACGGAATTCGTTGCATCTAACCCGTATGGTTATTCATTCGATTGACGGTACGACGATCTCCCAAGTTTATATTTGAACAATGGCAGTTCGATCTCGATCTCTCTTTTGATCACTTCACGAGAAATTCAAACTTCAATTTGATGGCTGGGTTTGACTGGAAAGAAATCTTAAATGTTCCCTCTTGAGTCAGCATTTATGCCGCTTGCTTTCTTGCTGCAAATCTTTCAAAATAAAATGCTTGCATCTCTCACTTGGGAGTCGAGAACCTTCTTTGACCGCATGCGGAGCAGAGCAGAGCATCCATAGTTCAAGTCTAATTTCGAATGCAGATATAGTTCCTATACTTTACAATAGCATTTCAAAATATATGTGGAATGATGTCGTGGAAGGTCGATGTAATAACATCCTTTTCGAGGCTGCTTGTGTAAAGCTCTACTCTACGAGTAGGGGCGCAATTTGATCCAAGCGTTTCCGCCAATCGCATCGCATCCTACTGCCATTGCCAGCCATCTACGGCAACTTTGCAATACAAGGCAAGCGTAGACACTAGCCGTGGCCCGAGGTATCAGCTGCTTTCATAAATTGTTGAGTCGCCGTACGTGCGTCGGTCAAACATTCGGAATGTTCACTAATCATCCTCAGCCCATTTTTGATCTAACATTGTACGAGTACTCGGCTTGAAGCTTCTTTGCGTCCACGAAACGGCCGTTACAAGAAGAGTCCGCTCTCAACGGTTTATGAGTTGTGTATGCTGCGCTACTCCTGATGCTCGTCTTCTCTTTTTTAAGTCTAGTCGCGCGCGGTTTTTACGATGTAAATATGTACAGGTGTATCGTGCACCAGTTACAGAGCGAGGATTCGAGGATTATGGGCTTTTTAACTTGGAAGTCGCACTTTATGATAGATGTTATTTGGTGGGTTTGAGGATCTATACTAGGGTAAAGACCTAGGCTCGGAGAATTCTATCTATTTACGTACACTAAGTAGTGGGCTTTTGGTGGGACTGTCAGTCAGGCTTACAAAAAGGCGAGGATTTGGTCTTCAAGGCGTTAATGAAAAGGAGGGAAGTCCCTTCAAGAATGACTGGATTGCTCTTTTCAAGTATTTGGTTTTTGATTAGGAGAGCTCGTGAGTGAGTGAGTGACTTCTCAAAAGAGTGTTTCGATTGTCTTCAACAGTTCCCAAGCTGAGACTAGTCGGTTACCTTGCTTGAGATACAGTACATTTCTACACCATATATTTCAAAGACAAAATCACATCAATCATGCCTTTAAGAACAGACTCAACAGCCAATCCCACCCCTCCGCCCCCCACCAAACCCCTTTCATCATTTACCCGCCTCTCCAAAGCCGTCCGTCTCTACGAGCCTCCGAGTCCCAGCTCTTCTTCCAGTACTGCCCCTGCCTCTCCCACAGCACCAACAACCATCCTCTTCTGCTCCTGGATGAACGCCTCCTCCAAACACGTCCAGTACTACGCCACCTGGTACAGCACACGCTTCCCGCACGCCCGCATTATTCTCGTCAGCATCACCACCGCGCAGTTCATGCTCGACAGCGAGGCCAAACGCCGCTCAGACGTCAGCCCCGCCGTCACAGCCCTCCTAGCACGACCCCAGACTAACGAGCGGTTGCTCGTGCACGCCGTGAGCAATGGGGGTATGAAGCGCTTGTATGGAATCGCGGCCGTGTATCGTGCGGCGACGGGAAATGCACTCCCGGCAAAAGCAGTGGTTTCGGATTCAGCGCCGGGGATCCCCCAGTTTCGTAGGGATATGTATGCGCTTGGGATGGGGGCGAAGAAGTTTAGCTGGCTGGTTTGGCTGCCGTATATGCTGGTTGTTTTGGTGAGCACGGCGTGTGTTTATGTGCTGGTGAATTGGCTGCCGGTGTGGGTTATGAGGGAGTTGGTGTGGGGGCCTACGGAGGGGCTTAATAGTACGGAGTTGGTGGATAGGGAGACTGTGAGGGGGTTTGTGTATAGTAAGGAGGATTTGGCGATTGATTGGAGGCATGTGGAGGCGTTTGCTGGGGTGGCGGAGGAGAGGGGGTGGAGGGTGGAGAGGATGTTGGTTGAGGATGCTCATCATGCACAGTTGTTTAGGGGGAAGGGTGGGGAGAAGGATTATTGGGGGGTTTATAGAGAGGGTTTGGGGGTATGGGTGTTGGGACTGAGTGAAGCAGTAGTTTAAGGTCGGAAGAATTCAGTTTTCGCCCACGGTCGAGGCCTTTGTGTAGAGGGACCAGCATATCTCACTTGTCGTTCAACATTGAGTATGCCAAAAAGTACCTCAAAAGCAAAGGTGGAGATTATGAGTTCTGCATAGGTAAGATTTGACTCGCTCAACAGATACTAGCTCTGTAAATATAACTATTTCGAACAATACCAAATGACTCGCGATCGATACCTGAAGTACAGCACATCTTGAAATCTATAACGAATGCCTCC